TCTCTGGCTCGCTCCCAGCTCCCCTGGGCTCTGCTCCAGGGGGTGGCATTTGCATGGACCTCGGGCCAGAGGGGCTTTTGTGGGTTGTGAAAGGGAACCAGCAAGTAGAGACAGATGGCTGGGTTACCAGGTGCTGCATTCCTGGCTGCACCTGGGCATGCTGAAAAGTGATTTTTTTTTTTTTTTTTTTTTTTTAGATTGTTTTTAAAGGGAGAAACGAATCTGGAAAGGACTGAATGGGTGTGGAAGGAGGATCTGTGCTCTGAGACTCGTGGCCTTTGGGGACTTTCTCAGCCATTTCTCACCCACTGCAAGGGCTGGGAGTTTCCATACCTGTCCCCATCTGTGGCTGATGCCAGGAAGGACCCCTCAAATCATCCCTTTTTGTATTCCAGAGGGAATCAGCTTTGTCCACACCTTACAATTCAACAGCAAGTGCCTGGCAGGTGCTGCAAGGAGTCAGAGAGGAGGGTGGTCAGTGTGGGGAAGGCATTTGGTCAGAGCATCCTATAGGAACACGGTGAATCTGCCAGAGGAAGGTGATTTCAAGGCTCCTCTTACTCACTTGTGGCTTTACCAGAACAGCTGCTGGGATTCCACCTTGGAAAATAAAACACTTCCTAATAAACAGTGATTCACGTTGCCTGGAGTTAAAATTAAGGTCCTGTTGGCTGCCCCTCTCCCACATGGGAATGCAGGGGCAGATCCTAGGGGTGCCATGAGTTTCTCCATCACTTGCCCTCATCCTATTCCCTACCTTCCCCCAGATTTGCTCCTGTGCAGCCTCATCCTGCACACAGAGCTCTACTTGTGCCTGCATTGCTCCTCTCCAGGTTTATTAGAATAATGTGGTTTGTCCCTTCCTTGCTTTCACCAGGAATTTTTTCCAGTGCCTACAGAGCTCACACAAGCCCCGGCCCCTCTCATCCTGCTCAGCTTCCATCTGAGCCTCCTTTTTCCTCAGCACAGGAGTCCTGGCCCCAGCCCCTTCCTGGCACTGGGAGGTGCTGGATGCAGCCCCATTTCCCGGCACTGGCTCCGGAGCAGCAGCTCCTCAGGAAGGAACTGGGGTGGGGACAGCTGGGGGACAGGGCCCTGCTCATCCAGGGGCAGAGCTGGCCTGGCCTGGGGGTCCCGGACTGAACGTCATCACTTTGTCCCTGTGGGAGCCTCCCCTGTCCCTGTGATCAGCCTGGGCCGGGCTGTGCCCCAGCTCTCCATCCACACTGGCTGCCAGAGGGATGGGGGGATCCTTAAGGAGCACTGGAGGCTTCTGTGACCCCGCTGCGAGGGGCTGGGAGCCCAGCTCGGGGGGGCAGCACATCCCTCCTGCTCCCATGCCACGTTCCCAGCCCCCCAGGCGGGAGCCGGGGATGGAGGGGGCCGGGGCTGTCCCTGTGGGAGCGCTCGGGAAGGGAAGAGGGCAGTGGTAAAAATAACCCCTGGGCCAGCTCCAGCCCATTGTGGCTTCCTGCGATTTACAGCCCTTCCCGGGGGGAAGAGGCAGGAACCGGCCAGCTCGGGGCTGGATTTGACCCTTTCACCACCACCGGAGAAGGTGCCTGGAGGATCTTTCCTCCCTCTTTCCCCTTCACCACCCAGGGCAGGATCCTGGGAAGGGGACTGTGGTGGGCTCCTTCTCCTGAGCTGCCCAAGCATCTTGGGATGGGCGCAGGAGAAGCTGCCGGAGTGGACATGGTTTCCCTGTCCCATTCCTGACGCCCCGCGGGCGGGGGGGACAGAGAGACTCGGTGCTGCCTGGGAGGAGTCAGAAATCGCCGCCGCAGATCCCGAAATGCCGGCCAGGTTCCCGTAAGGAGGTGGAAGGAGGAGGGGAGCTGGCAGAGGTGAGCTGGAGGTGCAGGAAGAGGAGGGTTGATGCCGGGCAGGGGCAGGGCTGTGGAGGGGGGGTCGCGCTGGCAGGGTGGGCGCAGAGTGGGCTCCTGCCGACTGGGGTTGGGCTGGCAGGAGTTAATGGGGTGGCTCTTCCTTTTCCTCATCCTCTATATGAGGCTCCTGCCGGCTCCGGGCTCAGTTTGCTGCGGGAGCCAGAGGGGCAGGAGCTGAGTGAGACCGGAGCATCCCATCCCTGCATCCCCTGGGTGGGCTCAGGTGAGCAAGAGCATCCCCCACTTGCCGATCCCAATGGCTGGCACAGGTCCTGGCCCCGGGGCTGGGCTGGGGACTGTGTGGGAACACTGGCACGGGCAGTCACAGCCTGGGCTCTGCTTGGGGGGTGACAGGACCCTCTGCTGGGGACATCTTCCCTCAGCTGCCGGGAGCTCATCCCTTGGGAGCACAGGGCCAGACACACCACGTGCCTCAGTTTCCCCACCTGTACAGCGGAGTGGGTGCGGCGTGGAGCCCGTGGGCTGTGTGTGGAGGAGCGTGGCAGGGAGTTCCTGGGCCCTTTTCTCCCGTGAACTCTGCTCTGCCCAGCCTGGTTCCCCTGCTGTCACCCGGGAAGGCCTCGGGGCTGGGTCAGCTGGTGATGGCTCTTCAGGGCCATTCAGGCCTTTTGTGCTCATTGAAACCCTCTGCTTGGGGCATTTACAGCCTCAGGCTCCTCCAGACTCCTTCCCCCAGCACCCACCTCCACCTCTGGATGCACACACGTGTGCTCGGGTGCAGCCGAGCAAGGCCCGGAGCACCCCAGGGCTAAGGAAACCCCCCTGGCTCTGTGTCCCCCACGCACCGAGCAGGGGAAAACCTTCCCTGCCAAGGGGAGCAAGGCTCGGGGACCCCAAAACACGCCCCTGCCCTGCTGCCCCCACATGCGGGGCAGCTCGCCAGCTCTCCTGAGCAGGGCTTTGTTGTGCCGCCCCTGCTCTCGGAAAGGCGAGGCGGCGGCCGGCTCCGGTATTTTTTCCTGTTGGAAGCCGCTCCTGGGATGCGAGTGAAGCCGGCGGATGCTCGGCGCTTCTCTCTTCCTGCCCGTGGGCTGGTCCTGCCGGGGCTGGCAGGGCTCGCTGCCTGCCTGGGATTGAGGGGACCCCTGGCTCTGCTTCACCCCCATCCTCCTCCTCACTGCTGCACCCTCGGGGCTAACCCTGACTCTCCTCTCTCCTCCCAGGGTGGAATCCAGGAGCCAGGAGAAGCTTCCAGAACCTCCCCAGCTGCAGCACCGAACCTCCCACAACCACTTCGGAGGGGGAAACAGAGCGACCAGGAGCGACATTTCGGGGCGATGGTGCCCTTGGGCAGCCCCACTCTTGCCGTCTGTGCCTCCAGCAACCTGCGCCTCATGGCCCCCGGCCGTGGCTCCCCCCTGGCCTGGCTGAACCGGGGTCCCCAGTGCCCGGGGGAGCCGGGGGGCAGCGGGGGCCGCAGACCCAGTGCTGTGGAGCGGCTGGAGGCCGACAAGGCCAAATACGTCAAGTCGCAGCAGGTCATCAGCCGGCGGCAGGAGCCGGCGCTGCGGGGCTCGCCCCGGCTGTCCCCGCTCGGCCGGCGCCTCCTGGCCCGCCAGCAGTGCAACGAGCTGTGCCAGGGCTCGGAGCTGGGCCGGGAGGGGCCCAGGAAGCTGCCGTGCCCCCCGTCCCCCGTGTCGCGCCGCAGCGGCAGCAGGCGCCTGCTGAGACCCGACTCCCTCATCATCTACCGGCAGAAACGGGATTGCCTGGGCGGGGACAAGGAGAACGCCAAGGGCTCCGGACTGGTGCGACGCCTCTTCCAGGGACCCCTCAGGGACAAGCCCCCCAGCTCCCCACCAGCCAGGGGGCTGGGTGAGGGACCACCACCCCCGCAGAGCCCCGAGACCCCCATGCTGTGGACGCCTGTGGAGAAGGAGGAGGCGAGGACACCGGGTGCCAGCAGTGGCGGTGGCAGTGGTGGCACCTTGCCCGTGCCCGGCAGCCCCCCAGCAGAGCCCCCGCAGCCCCCTGGGAAGCAGGCGCTGGCCCTGCGCGTGTCGCTGCCGCTCTCGGAGCAGGAGCGCTTCTTCAACTACTGCGGGCTGGACCGGGCGCTGGTGGAGCTGCTGGGGCGGGAGCGGTTCGGGCCGGCGGGCTGGGACAGCTCCTCTGCTCGGCTCCTCGGCTCCTGCGAGTCAGAGCCCGGGCAGGCCTCGGGGGGCAGCGAGGGGGGCGCGGGGCCGGGCGAGGAGGAGCCGGAGGATGCCCGGCCGGGCTCTGCCGTGTCGGTGGTGGAACGCAATGCCCGTGTCATCAAGTGGCTCTACGGCTGCCAGAGGGCCTGGGCAGCCGCCAAGGAGTCCACGGTCTGAGCAGAGACAGCCCAGCCGGGATGAGGACCCTTCCTGTGGCTACTGCTGGCTGGACATATCCCCTCGCCCTCGCTGGATGCGGCCAAAGGGCTGGTGGCATCCACGGTCCTGGTGTGGTGGGAATGCTGCAGGCTGGGAAGGCCACCAGGACTACCCTGGACCTCAGGCTGAGTGTGGTGGGGACACCTGAGGGGCAGGTGGGGAAGGGGCTCCCCTGGGTGAGTCTCTCTGTGGCCTCGGGGCTGGTGGGCTGCTGTCCTCCTGCTGTCCCCCATCTTCTCCATCCTCCCCCAGCCCAGGGTGGTGGGATGGTCCTGCAGCCCCCACTGACCACGCACACCCTGCTCCAGCTGCAGGTTGGGGTTGTGGACAGAGCCCAAGCCCCTCATTGCAGGTAGTGCACACCCCACACCCCCTCCTCCCCAGAAAAGGGGCTGCTGGGGCCTGAGCAGAGCTCAATAAAGCTGTTTTGGGGGGCTTTTTTTCTAGCCTGGCAGTGTGTGTGTGGGTAGATGCTCTGGGGTGGGGGAAGAGGGGCATTTCCCCCTCCTCACCATGGGGGTTGTGCTGCTCCAGGGGCAATGGGACCACGTTGGGGGCGATGAGGGCAAGGAAAGCACTGGGTAGAGCTTGGGAAAAAGGGCACCTCGGGGTCTTTAGTGCAGACACGACACCCAAACCCACTGCAGAACCCTTGGGTGCAGACAGGGGCCTGAACAACCAGCAATGGGGGGGCCACAAGTACTGCTGGAGAGTCCTGCTGGTGCATCCTCCTCTAGTTGCCCTTGGGGGCGTTTTTATTCCGGATTTCAGCCAGTTTGCCGGCCAGGAAGCCCCAGTGGAAGGCCCCTTCCTCCGGCTCCCGCAGGTCGCTGCCATCCTCGCCCGGGGGCTCCCCGGGACTCTCATCCGGCTCCGGGGGGGGCACCCCCTTGTCCGGCCCTGTCGCCTGCTGCCACTTGGTAGCAAAGAGATCCCAAAATCCGGGTGCCTTCTCAGCCTGGGGCAGCTCAGGTGGCTCAGCAGCCAGTGGGCTGGGGAGAGAGTGGGGACAGGGACATAGGTGTGGGGACCCTTCTGAGCGGGTCCCACAAGGGCCAGAACTGTGACCCCCAAGCCCCCCATGTCCCCCCCTCCATGCCAGCTCTCCACCAGGGCATAGGGCAGGGGAGGGGGATGCAGGTGATGGGATGAGGGGATGAAGGGGCTGGGCAGAGGCTGGCTGTGGGTTCTGGGGTCGCCCTCAACCAATTTCCAACTCACTGGTCCGCGCAGGGCTCCGGGCTGAGCAGCTGGTGCTCGTCCTCGCGGGTGAAGAGGGACGAGAGCGTCCTCCAGCTCCGGGCACCCACCCCCTGCACCTGCAGGGGAGGCAGCACCGGGCTCACCAGGGACCTCTGGGTCCCAGCAACACCCCCCACTTCCACCAGCCCCCTCCTCACCTTCCTCGCCAGCTGGGACACGGGGCCGGGCCCCTCCTCCATCAGCGCGGGGGTCTCGGCCGTCTCCATCAGCTCGGGGGAGTCTCCCTGCAACGAAGCCCCCCAGTGAGCGCAGGGGTGCAGGCAGGGGGAGGGCAGAGGGGTCGGTCACCCCGCTTTGAGGGGTCCCGGGCTTAGTGGGGACCCCCCACCCCACCTCGTCCTGCAGCGCCCCGTCCGCCCGGGGCCCCCCGAGGGTCTGCAGCACTTTGGCCTTGTAGAGCCGCCAGAAGCCCTGGGCCATGGTGAGGGGCTCGGCGGGGCCGGAGCCGGCGGAGCCGCGGGCGGCGGGACGGGGGGGTTAGGAGGGACCGAGTGGCGATCCGGTGGCTTCATTAAAGTTTCAGCGGCCACTTCCAATGCACAAAAGGAATCTGAGCCCGCGCTGAGCCGGGGGCAGCGCGGGGGCGCCTGCTCCGGTCACCCCCAAACCCTCCCCTCCACTCGCGTCCCCCAGCCCCCTCCCAGTGCCCCTCGCCCACAGCGGACCCCCAGGGCTGGGACATCCCCCTCCCACGGCGCAGAGCAGGCGCTGGGGCTCCGCGCTCCCCCCGCCGCGTGTCCCTATTTATAATTGATCACGGAGGAAACACGATCAGCGCCGGGGACGCGGCGCGCTGAGCCCTGCCCGGCTCATCACAGCGGTGACCGGGGCAGCGCGGGGGGACACGGGGACAGCCCGGGGAGGTGGCATCGGGGTCTGGAGGGGGGTGGGGGACACGGCTCTGTCCGGTGACCGCCACCGGGACCGGGACACGGCCGGGGCTGAGTCGGGTGGGCGTGGCCGAGGGCGTGGCCTGTCGATGATAGGCGTGGCTTATCGCATAGCGGGCGTGGTCTACACACTGTGGGCGGTGCCTGTCCCTTTGTGGGCGTGATCTGCCGCTCGGTGGGCGTGGCGTAGAGCCGGGAGGGCGGGTCCCGCAGCCCTCCGCGCCTGCGCAGTGCGGCGCCCGGCCCGGCGTGGTGGCCGCCATGTCGCCGCGGAACGGCCGCCGCACCGGCGCCCACCGGGCCCGCTCGCTCGCCCGCCAGCTCAAGACCAAGCGGCGCCGCCGCGACCTGGACGAGATCCACGCGGACATGAAGCCCGAGAACGCGGCGCGGCTGCTGCGCCAGGAGGTCGACCCCGACCTGCCGGGCTGCGCCCAGTTCTACTGCCTGCACTGCGCGTGCGTCACGGGGGGAAGGGGGGTGATGGGGAGGGGGTTCGAGCCCTGGGATGAGGGGGTGTCCTGGGCTTGGGGGTCCCAGACCCGTGGGATGGGGTTGCTCTGGTTCTGGAGGGGTTCTTGGGATGCTTCTGGAGAGGGAGGGCGCGTTCTGGTCCCCGAGGGGGTGGTCTTGGCTCCCGGGATGGGGTTGCCCTGGTGCTGGGGGGTCCGTGGCCCATGGGGTGGGCGATGTCCCGTCCCCGGGGGGCGGTTCTTGGCTTGGGAAAGCTTGTCCCAGTCTCAGGGTGAACCCCAGCCCGTGGGGGGACCCTGCCCCTCAGCAGGGCTCTCCCCAGCCTTGCTCCCATCTCGGGGTCCCCCCTGACCCCCACCCTCTGATCCCCCCTCCCCAGGCGCTACTTCGTGGACCTGAACAGCATGAAGGAGCACTTCAGGTCCAAGGTGCACAAGAAGAGGTGAGGAGGGGCCCGGACCCCACATGGATGGTGGTGTCAGTCCTGGGCTGGTGTCAGTCCTGGTGGTGTCAGTCCTGAGCCTTGACACCCCCCCCGTGCCTCCCCCAGGCTGAAGCAGCTGCGGGAGACTCCGTACACGCAGGAGGAGGCCGAGCGCGCCGCGGGCATGGGCTCCTACATCCCCCCAAAGAAGGTGGAGGTGCAGACCCAGCCCCTGGAGGAGGCCACCGAGATGGAGACGTCCAGCTGAGCCCGGGGGACGAGGGACTGAGATCTGGGGGCTGTGTGAGGGCGCCTTTGTCCTCAGCTTTGTGAGAAGAACACGTCCCAGCACAGCCTGCCAGGAAAAACCGCCCTGCTCCTCCTGCAGCCCTGGGACTAACGAGGAGAAGGAGCCAGGGAGGCCCTGGGTGCCCTCACTGTGTGTCCTCCTTCTCCAGGAAGGGACAAGCAGCTTGTTCCCTCAGTGCTGGCAGGACTGTGCGCTCCTCTCGTTGCTTTTGGAGAGATTTTGGGTGTCTGTCCTTTGGGTCAGAGGTTGTTGCAGCGATTCACCCATTAAAATATGTCAGCTGAGAGCCTGGAAGCATTGAGAGCTCTCTGGATACGAGGGGGACAGTGGGGGCACCTCGGTGTTGTGCTCTTCCCCATCACCCAGAGGTGTCCGTGCCAGCCCAGAGGAGCAGCCTCATCCCAGTGCTCCTGCCTGGGCAGGGTGGTGAAACTCCCTCTGCCCTCCTGGCAGGGGGTTCCCAGGCAGCTTTTTTTTGGGGTAATATGGGCTTGAGTGACCCCTTCAAGCATTGGTGAGCAGCTGGTTTGGGCCTCGAGAGGGGAGTGCTGGTGTCCCCTTGGGGGGGGACACTCTGGGGCTCCTGTCCCCAAGAACTAACCAGTGATTTCACGGTCCTGGAGGGCTGGGGCTGCACGATTGCTTCGTGTCTGCCAGACTGATGCTGCTGGTGACCCTGAGGGGACACTGTGTGACAATGCCACCACCCGCTGCTGCTGCCACTGTGAATTCCTGCCGTGAATTCCTGCAGAGCGGCTGACCCCGATTCATCCCTCCTGCCGTGCTGGGGACTGGGAATGAGCTGGGCATGGTGCTCCGGGCTGGAGCAGCAGGAAGGCAGAGCGACGACGCAGCTGTGCTGGGTAGGGAAGGGTTTATTTCCACGCAGCCCGCCCGGATTTGTTCCCCCCGACCCTTAGGGGGGATGGAGAGCTGCAGCTCTGCGTGGAGTCGGGAGAAGGGGGGGGTTCAGGAAGGCTGCAGCTGCCATCCCATCAGGATGTGCCTGCCCAGGGGACACGTCACCGACCCCGTGGGGCCACGTCCCCCCTGCCCCGTTACCTAATGGCGCCAGGCCTCATTCCTGGCACATTCCCACAGGGACAGAGGGGGTCTGTGGCTGCCAGCGGGGTACCAGGGGCCCCTCCCGCCCCTCTGCTTTGGTGGGAGATGGAGATGGACGCAGCTCCCGGCTCCACCATCTGTCTGTCTGCCCCTTCAGCCTCCAGTATCATGGCTGGATCCCGGTGTCTCGCAGTGGCTCGGGAAGGGCTCATCGGGAAGGGGCTCATCCGGCAGCTCTGGAGCTGGAGGCGGCTTCTCCATTCTCCATCCCGGCTCCAAAAGCGGGGGCAGACAGGGACAGGCACGTGTCCCCCCTCCCCAGGGCTCCGTCGCCTGCCCAGGCGTGGCGGGAAGGGCTGGATGTGGCGCAGGTCAGCCGGAAAGTCGCCGCAGCTCTGCTCGGATGGGGGATGGCGGGTGGAGGGGACCCCACACCCCCCTGGGGACTGTCCCCACGGCCCCGCCAGCCCCCTCCTCACGGCTCCGGGGGGGCCTTAGCGGGGTCAGCCATTCTCCGGGCGCTGTAGAGGGACAGGCAGAGCCCGGCAGCCGCCAGCAGCAGGGCCAGGGGGGTCAGCAGCCGCCCCCCCGGCTCGGCCCCCCGTCCTGCCGCCAGCTGCATCTGTGGGGGGACAGAGGAGAGGAGAGGGGAGCGCTGGGGCACCCCAAATCCCAAACCCCATGGGAACAGGGGGCCTGGGGTCATGCCGTGAATGTCTCCATCACGCCTGGTGGTGTACAGGGGAAGGGGGCAGCTTTGTGCCCCCTGTGGGGTGTCCAGGAGCGCTTTTGGGGTGCTCGGAGCAGCACTTGCGGGACTCCACTGGCAGCACCCTCGCCGCTAACGCGGAGATGGGATGGAGCCGGGAATGGCTCCCGCGGCCAGCAGGCCTGGTGGGCGACACGGGCACCATCCTGGGGGTCCCCATGGGCTGCCCCCAACCCACCCCCTTACCTGGAGCAGACGGAAGTACCCCGGGGTCAAGCGCTTGGGGCGGATGATCATGGCGCGGTGGGGAGCAGCAGGATCAGGCCCCGTGGGGTGGCAGCAGGGCTGGGACCCCCCAGCACGGGGACCCCTGCCCTGAGCACGGCGAGGGGTCCGTGCCTGTCTCCTGCCTGCCGGCCCCACGGCCCCCTCGGGAAGGGCGGCACCGGGCGAGCACGGAGCTGCTGTCAGCCGCGATCAGCGCCCGCTGCTCCCCCGAGCGCACACGCAGGGCGGGGGGGTTTGGGAGCCCAGACGGCGGCGGGGGGGCCAGAGCCAGCCCAGGACACGTTAGTGGGGCTGAAGAGCCGGGCTCAGCCACGGGGAGCCCCCATGCAGGCCTCAGATGGGGGCTGCCCCTTGCCTCAGTTTCCCCCCCTTGCAAAGGACAGGGTGTGAATAGGCCTTGGGTGGGGGGTGACGCCCCAGAAACTTCCCATCCCTCATCTCTCATCCCTGGGAGGGCGTCATTCCTTGGATCCCGTTGAGGGTGGAGCGGAGGTCTGGCCATCACCACCACCATGTAGGCTGAGACCAGGCAAACTCGTTGCATGGAGAGGGCTCTCCCACGAGCCAGGTGTCACCCCCTGGGGTCACCCAGTGAGGAGCCAGTGGAGACACCAGTGGGGAGGGGGCCGAGTGAGAGCTCCCTCAGGCTCTCCTGGGGGTGATCTGTGTGGCCAAACAGACCCCCAGCTGGGGGTCTCCCACTAGTGTCACGAGTGCTGTTGGGCCTCAGCCTTCACTGCACGCAGCGTTTTTGAGGGGGTAAAACACACCGTGTGCCATTTCCAAGAGGGTTCCAGCGGCCCCATTTTCCAGGTGGGGTTGCTGTGGCCGTGCCTCACCGTCCCCGTCAGTCAGGCCGTGACTCACCTGGGGCGCGGCGCGGGGCCTCGCCCCGTGGGATGGCGCTGGGCAGGTGAGCGGCACCCGGGTGCTCCAATGGGGCTCCCGCTCCCGGCACAGGTGGGAGCCGCTCCCGGCTCCCGCTCCCGGCTCCCGCCGCCCGTTCCGGCCCCGCCGCCATGGAGCCCGTGGGCTCCTGGGGCCCCGCAGAGGTGGCCGCCTGGCTGCGAGGTGAGACCCTCCACCCCCTGCCGGCTCTGGCGTGGGGTGTCCCCACATTGGTGACGTGGGTGGGTTGGCGTGGCTGAGGCGGGGGTGGCAGCACTTCTTGTCCCTGGTCTTTTCTTTCTGAGAGGGGCCATTTCCCATGGATCTTGCTGTGGGTGGGGTGGGGGTCTGGCCATCCCCACCGTTTAGGCTGAGATCAGGTGAAGTCGTTGCATGAAGAGGGCCCTGCCATCAGCCAGGTGTCATGCCCTGGGGTTGCTCAGCTGGTGGGGGGTGCTGGTCTGTGGCAGGGCTGGATGCAGAGGTGCAGGGGTACCCCTTCGAGGCCTGGGAGCTGGCAGGGCCTGACCTGCTGGGGCTGGATGTGGAGGTCCTGGAGGCACTGGGCGTGTGGCCCCTGGGGCACCAGGAGGTGCTGCTGGAGGCCGTGGAGCAGCTCCGTGAACTGGTGAGTGCAGGGATCCCCTGGGGGCTGTGGGGAAACCAGGGAGGAAGGGGGGATTTGGGGGCACCCTGGGCTGGGTGAAGGTGGGGACACCCTGGACTCATTGGAGAGGGGATGTGGGGGGACCCTGGGCTGGATGGAGGGGAGGACGTGGGGGCATCCTGGACTGGAGAAGGAGGATGTGGGGTCACCCTGGGCTGGGTGGAAGGGGGGACGGACACTGGGGCACCTTGAACTGGGTGGAGGAGGGAGTTGGGGACACTCTGTGCTGGTTGGAGCTGGGAATCAGGGCTGGGTGAAGGGGGGGATGTGGAGGCACCCCTGAGACTCTCACTGTGTCCCCATCCCCTGGCATCCATGTCCCCCCCAGGACGCGGGGCTGGTGAGCACCAGCCTGCGGACCCTGACAGAGAGGCTGCAGGAGCTGGCCCAGGGCATCCAGAGCCTGGTGCTGGGGGAGCTGCCGGCAGAGGATGCCCCTCAGCCGCCCTCCCTCACCCTCCTGGCCCGAGTCATCGACCTGGTCGGGGCTGCCAAGGGACTCTTCTCCTGGCTCAACAGGTCTGAGGCAGGTGAGGGCCCCGCTGGGTGCTGGGTGACTCCCACACCAGGAGCTGAGCTCTGTGTCCCCCTCCAGGTACCTCTTCTCCACCCTCAACGACTTCTCGGCCAGCCGGGACATCGTCCTGCTGTGTGCCCAGCTGGCAGAGATGCTGCAGGCGGTGGGTGATGGGCACAGTGTCGGGGTTGGGGATGGGCACAGCTGGCAGCTCTTCTGTCCCCCCAAAGCTCTGCCGGGCTGGAGGTGGGCTGAGAGGGGATGTGGTGCAAGGGGGTTTCCCCACGGGGTCTCCCCAGCTGGGATGGAGCCATCCATTCCCGCTCATCCCCATTATTTTGTTCCCCAGGATTGTCCCACGGCTGAGAGGGACAGGCAGATCCTGCGGATTGTAAGTGCTGTGGGTGAGGAGGGGGTGGCAGGCACGGGGCAGGGGTGCTGCCAGGGCCCATCTGAGCCCCTCGCTGTCACCCACAGTGCCAGCACATCGTGGGCATCTGCGAGAGCATCGTGGGCTGCAGCCCCCCGGCGCTGCTGGACCGCAGGGCTGTGCTGCAGCAGGTGGGGCTGGTGCTGCCCCCCGGCCCAAGGGGCAGCCCCCCGAGGTCCCCCAGCACCCCAACGCTGCCCCCAGGCCTGTGGCAGAGCCCCCCAGCGTCCCCTGACTCGCCAACGCTGCCCCTCAGCCCATGGGGGAGCCCCCCAGTGTCCCCTGACACCTCGGTGCCACCCTCTGACCCCCTGCCACTCATCACCACCCCGCTGGTGAGTCCCCACCACCCCAGTGCTCCCCACTGCCTTCAGACCCCCCAGCCCCTGCTCAAACCCCCTTCCTGTCCCCACTCAGGGCTTTGAGATCACCTCCACCAGCTCCTGCCTGCACTTTGTGTCTGTGACCTCCTGGGAGGTGAGCGAGGGGCTGCCCCTCCCCGTCTGTCACCCCCCAGGTGCCACCCTGTCCCTTTTAGCACCTGCCATGGGGAACTCCCCCAACCCATGGGGTCCTCTTAGGGCCCTAATCTGCATCCTGACCCAGAGCTGGGGGGGGCTGCCTGCAGCTGAGAGTGTGCAACTCATCTCATGAGTGAGCACAGCCTGGGCACTGGGGGAGCCCCCTCTGCACCCCGATCCCACCAGCAGCTCCGGCTGCTGCCGTGTAAGGTGGGGTTAATGTTTAATCCCTCCCCGGTTCTCCCCGTCCTTGAGTGTGGATTAGCTTGGGAAGAGGGGGTGGGAACGCAGGACTGGGCATTCCACTCCCACCCTGTCTCTGCCCAGGCCCTGTCTGCCCACGGGGGGCACATCCTGCCCGGGGACGAGATCGTGCAGGTCAATGAGCAGGTCGTGGTGAGTCGGAGGGGACGGGGCTGGTTTTGGCAGGGAGGTCAAGGACAGGGAGCTGGAGGGTCGGGAGGGCTGGGGGAATATGGGGAGTGCAGCTGGGAGGATTTTTGGTGCACACAGGACATGCAGCCAGGAGGGATGGGACCTGTGGCTGGGGGGATTTTAGGGGGACTGTAGCTGGGAGGGCTTGAGGGGATATAGGAGTTGAGATCCACAAAAAGCAGGACCCATGGCTGGGAATGGTCTGAGGGACACAGGAGCCACCACTGGGGGGATGAGGGGATGTGGTATCTGTGCCAGGGGAGGGTTTGGGGGATGTGGGATCTGTGGGGCCGGGGTCGTGTCCCACATCTCATCATGGGGCTGTGCAGGTGGGTTGGACACGCGTCAACCTGGAGAAGAAGCTGCTGGAGAAGGCAAACGAGGTGACACTGGTGCTGAAGAAGATACCCCTCGACCTGCCCTGCTCACCCCCCTCTCCCAGACAGCAGGTGAGTGACCCCAGTGCTCCCAGTTCATCCCAAGTGCCTCACTGGGACGTGCTGGGAACCGAGCATAGATGCTCAGAGCCAAGCATCTCCCATCACACTGGTGATCCCTAAAGCTCTGGGGTCCGTGATGGGTTGGGGCTGTCCCTGACACTCCACCCACAGCTCCCAGGAGCATTTTCGGATGCTGCGGATTCCCCTGGTACCAGGAGCGGCGAGTGCCCAGGCAGCCCCGTGTCCCTGACCTCCAGGTGAGCCCCATCCCGACACCCCAACACCCCCAATCCGGCCAGCAAGGAGCTGTTTGGAGTCCCCAAGGCCCATTCCCAGCTCTTTTTTTGGGTGGAGAAGTCCCAGGGATGCAGCAGCTGCCTGCGAGTGGCCCGCGGAGCTGCCCAGTAGCCTTAAGGGACGGAAAAAAAAAAAAGTGGGTTGTGTTTGTAATTCATTCACTTGGTAACGTTTTAGTGGGGTTGAAACTATATTTAGACATGACCCTTCTCCTCTCCCGGAATGGAAAGGCGTGCAGGGAGCCAACGGCAGCGCGGGCAGGAGGCACCGGCCGGGCTCCCACCCCGCTGGGGACCAGGGAGGTTGGCAGAGCTGGTGCTGAGCCCCCACCACCGCGTCCCCTCCAGCCCCATTCCTCGGGCAGGGAGAACCGCGGGTGCCCCACCCAGAGGCCGACAGTGGGATCCCCGCAGACGTCGAAGAGGTTTGTGGCTCAGGAATCCCCGTTTTCCCCCAGCGTTGGTGCCGACTTGGACTCCGGGCCGGACTCCACACCGGATCCTGCCACTGACGAAGAGGAGGAAGAGGACGAGCAGGACCTGAGGCTGCCCGGGGCGGCCGTGGAGGAGCTGCCGGGACTGTCAGGACTGGGTAGGAGGGGAGGAGAGGCGGGGACGGAGAGATCTCCCCACCCCAGGACAAGAGGCTGCAGCCCCGCTCGCTGTTTGCAGGCACTGCAGAGGAGGAGGAGTGGGAGAGTGGCACCCCCTTGGACACCCCCTGGACACCCCCCTGGGCACCCCAAACTCTCCAGACACCTCTGCTGCCACCACAGAGCTGAGCCCCACGGCAGCCCCCACCACGGGGGCTGGGGGTGCAGAGCCCAGCCAGCTCCCTGGGGAGGTGAGAGCTCGAGGAGGGGACACTGGGAGAGTGTCAGAGTGATGGGGGGTACACAGGACTTTGTGTCCTGCCTGTAGTGGGAGTCAAAATGCCTGTGCCTGGGTGGGTTCCCCTCTGAGCTCCCCTCTGGGCTCGCTGCTGTGTGTGTGCAAGCTGGGGGGTCCCTAAGGGGGTCCCTGAGGGCTGTGTGTGCTGCTGGGGGGACTCAGCTAACGCTGCCCTGCCCTCACCCCGTGTCACCCCTAAATGCTCGTCCCCATCTCCCCACCCAGGGCAGCCCCCAGACAGGACGCAGACCCAAAGGTGAGCAGGACCCTGCCAGGCTGGGGTGAAGAGGGCTGGGGGCTGCCCTTGGGGGGGCTCTGCTCCCCCTCCCCTGCCTTGACGCCCCCCTGGCACCGCGCTGGCAGGAGTGGCGACCCGGCTGAGCCGCCGGCGGGTCTCGTGCCGGGACCTGGGCCGGGTGGACTGCGATGGGTGGCTCCTCAAGAAGAAGGACCACGTGGGCTTCATGGCCCAGAAGTGGAAGCGGTGCTGGTTCGTGCTCAAGGGCCACACGCTCTACTGGTACAACCACCCCAACGTGAGTGGGGGCCACGGGGTGTCCTCGCCCCCCACTCCCACCTGGGCAGCTGGGATTTCCCAAGGTGGTGGTGTTGGACACGCTGTCCCCATTCCTCACAGGATGAGAAGGCTGCAGGACTCATCAACGTGGCCACCTACGACCTGGAGAGCACGAGGGAGCAGAAGAAGAAATAGTGAGTGGGGTCTGTCTCACCTCCCAGCTCGTGGTGGAAGGAGGGGGGATGCTGTGCACGTGCTGATGAATCCTGCTGGGTACCACCTGCATGTCCCCATGGGCCTTGTGGGGTCCTTGCATGGCTGTGGGGTCCCCATGGGCCTGGTAGGGTCTCCAAGGGGCTGGTGGGGTCCCCAAAGGGTTTGCAATATTCTCTCCACACGGAGCAAGACGTGCACTGTGCTCCTGGTATTATCTGGGATGAGGGACAGGACATCTCCCAGGGCAGGGAGAAGCCCAGACCCCTGGGCTGGATTGGGATGGGGAGGCTGGAGGGGGCTTGTGGCTGGTCCTGTGTCACCACAGCAGCCACCTGCTTGTCCTCAGCGTGTTCCAGCTGTGCCACCAGAGGTACAAGCCCTTTGTCTTCGCTGCCGAAACCTTGGCTGACCTGAGCATGTGAGTGACACACCCACCGGTGCTGGTCAGTGCCAGTCCTGCCCCTCCTGGGCTGGCCAGGACCCTCCTCTGCCTGTCTGCCTGTCCTTTCCCTCCCCAGGTGGGTCAGTCGGCTCGTAACAGCCAAAACAAAGTACACACTCGCCCACCAGTCGGTCCCAGACAAGGAGGAAGGTAACAAGCCCTCCCCAGGGTGGGAGGTGGGGTCAGGGGGAGATGGGGACCCTGGGGGGACCTGGAGGTCCTGGTGGGGCAGCTGTGCCTGGTGCCACATCCCCTGTGTGGGACTGCTGGGAGCTTTGCCCGTGATTTGTGGGAATGTGAGAAACCTCCCCCTGAGAGGGGCTTGGGGCGATGCTCAGCCCTGGGGGGGGAATCTTCCCCCTCCCACTGCCCTCCCCAGACTGCTACAGCGAGACAGAGGCCGAGGACCCCGATGATGAGTCCCCCAGGCACGGATGTGACTCGGTGAGTGGCCCTGGGGGACATCCTGGGGAGGGGACAGAGGTTCCTCATCTCACCTCCTGCTCCATCTCTCCCCCAGCCGAGGAGGAGGCTGCAGAACCCCCCGGACAGAGCCCAGCTCTCCCCAGCCAGTGGCGAGTCCAGCAGCCCCCAGGGCAGCCCCCGGCCCTGCTCCCCCATGGGTAGGTGCTGGGGGTGGCATCTGTCACCCTGTCACCTTGTGTGCACCCTTTGTTCACAGTCAGGGCCTCCTCTGTGTGTGTGTGTGCTGGGAGGTAACTCGAGATGGGGTGTGTTGGGGTGTGAACCATCTCGGGGTGAAGGGAGCCTACAGGAAAGATGGAGAGGGGTTTTTTAAAAGGGTGACAGGGAGAGGGGGAAACTAAAAAGAGCAGGTTTAGATTGGATATTAAGAGGAAGTTCTTTGCTGTGTGGGTGCTGAGGCTCTGGCACAGGTTTGCCCAGAGAAGCTGTGGCTGCCTCATCCCTGGAAGCGTCCAAGCCCAGGTTGGAGCAACCTGGGATAGGGGAAGGCGTCCCTGCCCGTGCCAAGGGGTTGGAACTGGGTGATCGTTCAGATCGATCAGTGCTCCCCTCCTCTCCCCCAGACCCCGCCGGGGAGGACCTGGAGAGCCTGATGCGGTGCCTGAAGCAGGGCGGGGTGTCCCTCATGGGGCAGCGGCGCTTCCTGACGCAGGAGCAGTGCCGAAAATCCTTCCTGCGGCGCAACAAGAACCCGCACATCAACGAGAGGGTGCACGCCGTGCGGGCGCTGCAGAGCACGCTCAAGGTGGGACCCCCCAGCCCCCCGATTTCCCCTGCCCAAACCTCCCCCCAACCCCCTGGGTGGAAGCCCCAAAAACCTTCCCCTCGTCCCTGGCAGGCGAAGCTGGTGGAGCTGGAGGCGCTGGAGCAGCTGCTGGGAGAGGCTTCGCTCACCTCGGGCACCTTCAGGCGCTGGAAGGAGGAGCACCAGGAGCTGTACCAGGAGCTGCGGGAGGGGTGGGCAGGGCGGCAGCGACAGGGCCACGACGAGGGGACTGGGGGCGAGCGGGAACCCCCTGGAGAGGCGGCCGGACCGTGACATCCCCCAGGGACCCGGCGGGGATCGGTGCTGGCACAGCTCGGGATGCTGAGGACATTTTTGGCGGGCTCATCTCCCTCAGAGAGAGCGGCTCCTGCTGCGTCCACACCCCCATCCCCGGGGTGGGGGGCGTCGCTGAGACGAGTCTTTACTTTTTTTTTTTTCCAAGGACACTTTTGAGTCTTACTTTTCCCAAGGACATTTTGGCTTGGCAGAGGGAAGGGGGGGGGAGCTGTTCCTGAAGGGACGTGCGCCCCTCTCTGTGGTGCCATGCCAAAGTGGGGGGCTCTTGTGCTGTAAATAAATTGTGTTGACAGGCGCTGGTCGTGCCGTGGTTTTTTTGTTTGTTTTTTTTGTGTTTTTTGTTTGATTGTTTGTGGGGGTTTTTTTGTTTGTTTGTTTGTTTTGTTTTTTTTTTGTTGTTGTTTTGGTCGGAATCGTGGAATTCTTTAGACTGGAAATGGGATCATGGCATCCAGCCGAACAGCACCACTAAACCATGCTGATACAGTCCCCAGCTGCCACATCCACGTGTTTTTTGAACACCTCCCAGCGGGGATGGTGACCCAGGGGGTCGCAAAGATCCAGAAAGTCCCCCCTGCTCCCCCTTTCCCTCAGGCTCAGCTCCCCCGGCTCCCTCAGCCCTCGCCCTACGGGTGCCGCCCGCGGACACCCTTCCCCCGCCCGCAGCCGCCGCTCCCTCCGCGCCTCTGAGGCAGCGGGGTGGTGGGCGGGGACAGCGTTCAGGGCGAGCCAATGAGCGGCGGGCAGGGGAAGGGGCCGGCGCGCTGGATTGGCTGGGGCGCGCGTGGAGGCCCCGCCCCCGCCCCAATACCACGCCCCCCCCTCGCGGGCGGGCGGGGCTAACGGTCGCGGCGCGCGGCGGAGCCAGGTGAGGGAGCGGGAACGGGAACGGGATACTGGGAATGGGATACCGGGAATGGGATACTGGGAACGGGATACCGGGAATAACCACCGGGATACCGGCACCGGGACACCGCTGCCCGGATCCTCAGGGACTGATTTATCCCCCCCTTGCCCCTCAGGGTCTCGCCGCGAAGGCTCAGCCTGCACCAGGTCACCCACGTTGCCCTCTCCCCTCCCTCCACCCCAGTCGCTGTTCGGGGCTCCCGTGCTCTTCCCCACGCCGGGTTCACATCAATCCCTTCCCTTTCCGCGTGGTTTCTCGCCCTCTCCACGACCCCACCGCTCCCTTCCCACCCCCTGTACCCGCTGCTGGAAGGGAGGGGTTTTGGGATTTGGGGGGGGGTTCCTCTCCCCATGTGGTTTTGGGAGGGCGGTGCTGGTTGAGGTGGGAACGCTCTGGTGGTTTGGATTTGTTTTGTTCCGAGAGCCCACGCTTGAATTTCCCTGTTGGAACTGTCTGACTGTAGTGCCTGGAGGCTGAGATTTAAACTGGGGAATTTCAGAAATACACCTAATTTACTAATTTCTACCCAAATATACTTAAATTATGATAAGCGCTTTATTTACCGAGAAGTGTTTTATTTCTTCTCTGAGTGGAATGCTGCTTCAGGTTTGTCCTGTTCCTAATGTCCCTCCTATGTTGTAAAATCTGTATGTGTATGTTTTCTAGGAATTAATGCCTTCTTTGAGCTCCTTGAATCAGTTTAGCAAGAATCTGTAAGAGCTGCCAATTGATGGTTTAGTCTGGGTGGAGAGAGGCCTTGAATTTCCACAGTGTAGCCTGAGAGCTGTAAATTGCACTTGTGTTATCAGAGACAGGAAATTCACTGTCTGAAGTACTCAGAGAAACAGATAAATTAACCCAAAGCTCTGGATAGATAAAAATTGCCATGCATGGAACAGCAAGGCTGATTTTTGAAGGACTTTACTCCTCGTGTAGTTGCTCAGTGACCTCTGCAGAGGGCAGAAATGATCTGGTGGGGAGTCAAGACTTTTAAAGATGAATTTGTAGTCTCTGTAGACACAGAGTCAGTGTGTAGGTACCGTGGTGACTGGTGCTCTATAAATACCTGCCATGAGGATAACACATGTGCCAGCTGAAAGGTGCTGCTGAGCTGCTGTGTGGAGAATGGTGCAAACAAGAATTATCCTCATTTTTCAGGCATTAAAAACCCCCAAACCTCTTGTAAGTTAAGTATTGCCTCTGTTGCTGCAGGGAAAAACCAGCTATTTTTGGGAGGAGATGCTAATTAAATACAAAATACAGTGTTACTCTGATGTGTTCGTACCCTTTGCTTGGTTACTGGGAACAGGGTTTGGGTTATATTGACCTAAAATACGATTTTCATTTACTTCTCCAGTTCACTGGGTGGATAAGATGGCTGTTCCTGGGAGAGATGCAGACCTGAGGCTCCAGCAGAACAATCCACTGGGTAAGGACAGTCCTTTCTTTAAAGCCCTGCTGTCGGATCCTGTTTCAGCTTCTCTGAGCAGACACGTGGCCCTGAGAAGATTCTTCACCAGGAGCTTTTTTTGTTCAGAAAAGTCTTATTCCTGCAAAAGTACACAAGGGCAGGGAATCACTTGATACTTAATTTCTCTCTGAAGCAATAACTGATGAATCTGGGAGAGTTCTTAATGGTTAATGCGAAAAAATACATCTTTAATTTAGCCAGTTCTGCTGTGCTGCTGCTGCTCTTTTTAGTCTGAGTGTACCAGAGCATCAGCTGCGTGTGATATCATCAGACTCATCAATGGGAATATAATTTACTACTTTTGCATTCTGACTTCCATAACAAGATTGATTTTTCAGTCTCCTGTTGATATCATTTGACTTCCCTGTGCTTGCTGCCATTTCCTTTTGCAAAAGAGATATTTATTTAACAATAACACAGGGAGGGAAGCGAGAATCGGTTCGGGTTTTGGGAGTGCTGGTAATTAGATATGTCTTGATGGTATTAAAAGGTTTTTCAGTCTGAAGCATAAACATCCCTTTTTTTTCCTCTCTCCAGATCCCAGCAGTGGTCAGAAGAGCAAGTTCTTGGGGACTGACTGGAAAACACCCACGCTGTCGGTGAAGTCCCAGAGCCGCGTCAGTCGCTGTCCGAGCGTGGCCGACAGTGGGGATGGGGGCATCGGCACCTCCTGCTCGGACAGCACAGAAGGTGATGGTCCCCATGGGTCCCCAGAGTGTAAAACTTGGAGAGCAGACCCTGTAGTGATGTTTGGAGGCTGTTTTAAATCCAGTGCCTTGGATGAGCTGCCTGGAATATAACCAAGTGATGCAGGCACTGGCTGTTTCTCTGAGCTAGTTTGGTTTATCTACCTGCAGTGGTTTTAGCTGACTAAGAGCCACCTTGGGGATTTGCTGGTTCATACTGACCAACAAGTGATTTATCAGCAAGTCTCTTGCGTGATTTTATTATTTTTTTTTTAAGGAATAATTTACAGTAATTTATTCTTTGTGCAGAATTGTTTGTCTCTTCAGTGTTAGCCATGTGCTTCTTGCTGAAGAACTCAGAGCCATGCCCTCAGCTGAGGCACATTCTGTGAAATTGCTCGTCCCAGCAATCCTTTCCACCTGTATTTTTCATCTTCATTGATTCTCCTTTCAGCAGTCAGGAGGTTTGTGGTGTGCTTTAAAGCACTTCACACATCTGTTTCAGGAAGCTGCATTGAGCCTTGGGAATGAGCTGCAGGTCTTAATCATTTGTGGGCAAATTGAAGGCTTTGGGAAGTCTGGCTGTTGGAAATATTGCTGAAAATATTACATGAGCACGTGTTTGTGTCCATCAAGCCTCTCTCAGGGTAATAAAACACCCTGAGCTGCAGGTGAGGGCAGGGGAAGGAAATTCCCCTTGTGAGCACTGGTGTTGTCACAGCCTTGTTCGTAAGAGCCGAGGCTGACCTGCAGCCCTGGCCACTGGCTGAGGCACTCTGAGCTCAGTACATTAGTCAGAAATGTTGTTCTGATGACCCTTAGCACACTCAAGGAACCCATTGCAGCACCTGCACGTGGCATCTCGGTCAGGGAACTCGAGTTCCAGACGGTGACACCGGGGGGATAAATTTAGGGGCTGTAAAAGGAAATGGTACTGTCTCTTCTTTTGCTGAGGTGAACGTGCTTGTGACTGTGCAGCAGCACAGTGTTCTCTGGAGTTCCCAGGCACAGCCAAGTAGTGGCAGAGAGATTTTCTGCCCCTCATTGCTCTCTTTAGATGAGAGGATCTAGTGCCTTTGTTGGGGTAGTTTTCCTGCAGTGTCATGATGGTCTCGCAGACTCTGATTTTGGTCGGATTCGAACTGTAATGTTCATTCCTTACGTAGCAATGCTTGGAGGGGACAAACAGGTGGAAGGGTGACTTGCAGTCCTGATGTTGCATTAAAGGAACATCACGTGGGGGGTGGGCCTTTGGCCAAAGCCACGAGGAGAACAAGTTTGTGTACCTGGGAGAAGCCTGGAATTCCCGCGATACAGAACGTATCGGGACAAGGATTCCCGCGATACAGAACGTATCGGGACAAGGAGTGGGAAGGGGCACTTGACTGTTTGCCTTTCTAAGCCCTTGCTGTTGCTGCATGGAAATCTGAGAGTTGCTAAGAATAACCCCTGTCTGTGCAGCCAGGTTTGGTGCCCCTCTGGCAGGACGGGCTCGCGGGGTGCGTGCGCCGAGCTCTGCCTCATTTCCTGTGGCAATAAGGTGAGAGCCATTACTCCAGGCTCTTTTGCCGCAGCGTCCTGGAGGAGCTGGAAGGTCAGACCCTCGGGTTCAGCTATGTTTGAGGCTCACCATGGGCTCAGGGAAGGCTCCTGTTAGCTCTGGTTCTGGTTCGGAGTCGCAGTGGGACGGGCAGAGCAGAATTACGGTCTCAGTGTTCAGCTGAGTAAGTTTCAGCCTCTTTATTCGATCTGAAGGACTTGATTTCTAAACCTGTAGGGAGATAACCTGGTTGACTTAAGATTATGCTAGAGAAGCTTAAAAACGAGGATTAAAATTGTGAACTGGATTAAATCTGGATTCTCCCTGTGGTTTTTGTGGTAGGAAAATGCCATCAGGTTCCTGAAATGTGTAATGAGGGGGAACATAGGTGTGCTTGAGTCTTTGCTGCTGCTGCTGCTTAGGAGTATATGTTGAGGGGGAAAGGAACTGGTTTTAAGATTATTTTGCAAAGTTCACTGGAGGAGTGTCTTTTCAGGATTGTAATCAGAATATCACTTTTTTTCCCCCTAGATTTTTGCAATTCCAGTAACGGTTCCTCATTCCACCCCATCAAAACCCAGGTGACCATTCCAACAGCCCACATTATGCCTTCCACGCTGGGTGCCTCACCCTCCAAGCTGTGCTCTGCAGGAGACCAGGGCTGTTCCCAGGGCACTTCAAAGGCTGCTGTGCCAGGATCTGCCTCTGAACACTCAGGGCTCACGAGGAACGGGGATTTTAATGCTGGGAAGTCGTCTCAGGTGCCACCCAGGGATCTCCTGCGGCTCTACGGGGGTTCAGGGCAAAATGGCTTTGAGCAGCCCTGGCCCCACGCTGCCGATCCCATGAGAACAGAAGACCCTTGGAAGTTTGAAACCCCTGCCATGGAGCGCACCCTGAACCAGTCTCTCTTTCTGGACAGTTTGTGTGCTGACCCCCAGCACAGGTTCCAGAAGCTCAATCCAAACCCCGAGGCGGGGAAGGACCGTTTTAAGGTGCTGCCAGAGAGCAAACACGGGGCAGGGCCCGACGGAGTCTGCGAGCCCCGGGACGGGACGTGGCCGAGCGGGAGCAGAGCGATGCCAGCGGGACTCCAGGCCAACAATTTCTTCCCCAAACCTGTCGTGACTCCTCCATCCCGAGCGTGGGTGCCAGAAGGATGCACCCTCCATCCACACAAGGGGGTCTGCGAGCTCAGTGCCTGGAAACAGCAGCTGGACCAAGTGAGGCTGCAGGTGGAGCAGATGCAGGTAGGGAGCTGCCTGCGTGGCTGCAGCAGTTTGAAACCCTTCAGTCAGGGATCGTTGTGTCAGACTCGAGAAGCAAGGGGGAAAATGTCTCCTTGCTTCTCCCTGTGTGACACTGGAAGACTCCTAATGATCTGTTTTTACAGCATGTGGTGTCACAGGTATCGTTTGACACACTCCATATGTAGAGCAGCTCTGGATTATGTTACAGTGCTGCAGCAGGGTCCAGATCAAGGGGTGAAATACCCTGTCTGCCAGAAACTGCAGGGAAAAAGAATGCCAGGAGGTTCTAATTAGTTTCTAGAATAATTTTATTCTGTATCTAGGGTTAAGAAAGACTTTTTTTGTTTGTATTAAAAGATGCATAAAACTAACTGCAGCTTACTAGGTGGAAACAGTTTGTTTACCACCTCCCACCAGCTGTACCTTAATGGAGACAAATTGTTTCCAGTGAGCTAGCACAGCGATCTAAAATTATTTGTTAATCTCCAGTTGTGCTTGGGCAAAGTTACTTGTTCTTGGACATCAACAGAGACTGAAATAGCCGTGTCCTGGCATGCAGATGAGCACACAGTGTGCAAAATAGCTCCAGCAATGTTGCAATTACCTCTGTGGGGCACAAACCTCTCCCTCCTCTTTTTGTTTCCTCCTGCAGTTACAAAATGGAGGCACCTGCCCCCATTCCTCGATGTACTCTCCATCCCTGCCTCCACCTGATCCAGCCCAGTGGATCAATATCCTGAACTCCAATGAAAACCTACTCAAGGAGAAAGAGCTCCTCATTGACAGGTGAGGGTTTGACAGTGACTCCAGTGCATTTCTGTTTGGAAAGTACCAAGGAAAGCTCATTTCTCAGAGTCCCTTTTACCCAGTTGAGCTTTTTTTATTGCAAAGAATGACCCTGGAGAACAGCCTGAGCTCTGTTCCTCTCAGAATTAGGGTGATGTTCCTGAAGCGTTCAAATAAATTAGTTTCCTGTGTTTTATAAGTGGTAGAGATCTCTGTTCAGATCATGATTATCAGGAGTGTCCAAACTACTGCCTTTCTGCTTAAGGAATTTCTGGGAGCTCTCTTCTGTATGTTTGAGAACAGGTTGGTTTTTCTTTTTACAGACAGAGGCAGCACATATCCCAGTTGGAGCAGAAAGTCCGGGAAAGTGAACTGCAGGTTCACAGTGCCCTGCTGGGCTGTCCAGCATCCTATGGAGATGTCTACATGCTCAGACTGCAGGTAATGGGGTACAACAGGTGGCCCTCCCACTTCTCCTTAAGTGTTTGCTGAGCAGGAGTCAAATTATACTTTGTGTGGGGTCCTGATTACTCATCACCCCTGGGATCCTCAGTGTGACCCTTGAGATTTCCAGCCCCGAAGGATGACAGCTCGTTTAGAAGCCTGTGCTAGTGATGCAAACACCTGGCAGCACTGACAGGTGCTATTTTGGACACTGCAGAGATGGGCTGAGTGGTGTTTGGGAGCTGGGGAGGGACGAGGACACGGCTCTGGGACAGCACAGCTGCCGAGTGCCAGTTTGTAACCAACCTAATCCGGGAGCTGTCTCTGCCTGCAGGAGCTGCAGAGGGAGAACACGTTCCTGCGAGCACAGTTCACGGAGAAGACTGAATCCCTCAGCAAGGAGAACATTGAGTTGGAGAGGAAGCTGGCTGCTGCAGAGGTGGATGTGAAGCTGGCCCGGGAGTCGCTGAAGGAAGCTGTGCAGAAACACGCAGAGGAGTTAAAGAAACAGGAAGAAAGGGTATGATCCCGTTGCTCTAGAGAATGGGAAGGTGTGTTTTGTTTGAGAAGCTAAAAGCCAGTGTAGTGCTGAGATGGAACTCTTCTGTGGCAGTCTGTAACTGCAGGTGTTTTCTGATCTGCTTGTAGAGTACTTTGGTTTATAAGCAAAAGCCCTTTCTCCTGCAGGTAGAAGCATTTCAGTACCTCCTCTTTTAACCAGAAGAGCGTGTCTTTAGCTAAATGAGCAGAAATGCTGCTGAGTGAAGGTGATCTTGTATTTTGGTGTTGAGTTCTGTGCAAAGAACCCTAAATGAGTGGCCTTACAGAAGAATGAAGAAGAGATGAGAAATTATATAAACTAAACCTGTCTATAACTACCCTTGCAGGTAAAGGGAAGAGACAAGCACATCAGTAACCTTAAAAAGAAATGCCAGAAGGAATCTGAACAGAGCAGAGAGAGACAGCAGAGAATTGAGACCCTGGAACGATACCTGGCTGATCTGCCCACCCTTGAGGAGCACCAGAAACAGAGTCAGAAGGTAAAACCTTCTCTGAGTTGTGACGATGGCTCTTCACTTACTTTCTCAGGTGACTTTTCTACATCTGCAGTTACTCCCCTTTGTTGCAGCTGAAGGATTCTGAACTGAAGAGCACTGCTCTGCAGGAAACAGTGCTGGCACTGGAAACAGAGCTTGGAGACATCCAGGCTGCTCTCAGGGAGCAGGAGATGCAGCTGGAAAACCAAAAACACAAGGAGATGGAGCTTCTCTCCACTGTGCGCAGGTAAGAATGAGGAGGATTAGAATAAGCTTCATCTTGGCACTGCAGCCATTGCTGCACAAGGACAGTGGTGCTTCACTGTCCCACCTGTCAGAACCGGGTCACTGTGGATTTGTGGCGCTTTCTGAGTGCTGGCCAAAGCACCCTGTTCAAATCCTGCCTTCCAGCAGCAGAGGGTGGGAGCAGAACCACGTGGCTGAAAAAGGAGGCCCCTGTTTTGCCAGCTGGGTTTGTTTGTGTCCTCAGCTGGGTCTGTTATTGCTCTCAGCTATAACTCCTTGCAAAATGGACCTATTTGTGTGTCTGCAAATGGGCCAGTGTCACAGGCAGGGCTGTGTCCCGGGGCAAGGACTCCTTCCAGCACAGCCCTGGCAGTTTGTGAGCTGGGATGCAAATAGTTCAACACTGACGTCTGATATGAAAATAATTTCCCTCCTTGAAGTGAGGGAAACACCTTCAAGGTGTCTTTTCCCATGGTGTTTTGCTAACTTCAGCTTGCAGGATAAGCTGCAGCAGAGTGTAAAGAATGCAGAGAGAGGACCCACTGCCCAGGATGGGGAGAGAAAGAAAATGGAGCATGACTCTCTGAAGAAAGAATGCGACTGCCTCAAGAAGGTAAAGGGGCTGTCCCAGGCAGGAATCACACATTTTTCCTTCCACTGAGTCACACCAGGCACTCAAATGAAATCAGGGACTTCTGCAGGCACAACTGCACTGAAGCAGCAGTTCCTGGAATTCAGACTGTGGGGTTCTAAAAGCTGCTGTTGGTGTGAAAACCACACAGTCCTACAGTAACGCTGGGGAGAAGTTGCAGAATGCAGAAGAGGGGAGAGGAAAACCACAAGAATACAACGTCTCTGGTCTGTTCGTAGCTGATACATCTAATGGTGCCTTCTGTCAGGGAATCTAAGTCCACTCCTAACAGCAGCAGTGATTAAAGCAGTAAATGGGCAGGGAAGAGAGAGAGGGTGCTATCCTGCTGAAGGAGAAATCCAGGTGGTGCTGCTGGCTCTGTGTGGCCAGTTCTGATGCCTCTGCTTTTGATTCCAGATCGTGGACAAAAAGCAGAAGAAGATGGAGCAGTTATCCTTGCAAGTAAAGGTGAGAGGTGACTGGGGAGGGACCTACAGCTGGAGAATCTGCTGTGAAATGAGTTAGACTTACTGTGTTCCCGTGATCTCTTCCAGAACCTGGAAGAACAGGTGGCTCAGGAAGAGGGGACAAGCCAAGCTCTGAAAGAAGAGGCGATGAGAAGGGAAAATGCACTGCAGCAGCTCCGGGCTGCTGTGAAAGAGGTCAGGGAGTGCTTGGTTTGCCTGAACATGGCACTGAATCGAGTGGATTGTCTTTCAGCAAGGCCCTGAGTTTGGAGTCAGCAGCACAACATCTGCTTCCTGCTAGCCAGTTGTCCTGTCAGGGCTCTCAAAGGAGCTCTCCTCTGCTCAAATGCAGGAGGAAAAAGGGAGTTTCTTCCTCAGGAACTTGAGCTGGGGCTCAGGATGTGGTGGAGGAGGCTGTTTGCCACCTGGGGGCAGCAGGGCTGCGAGCTGGGCTGAGCCCTGCTCTCAAGCAAAGAAAGCCGAGCACAGCGGCAGCCCTGGAAGGAAGGGATGCCCAGTGTTGGGGTGCACAACCTCCTGAAAGCTTCTTTTGCTCCATTGTGGCTTGGCAGGGATGGTGCAGTGTCCCAGGGTCCTTCCTGTCCAAGCCAGGAGAGCCAAATCCTCACCCTTGTGTGGGACTGACACTCATCTGGTGACAGTGTGGAGGGCTGGATGTAAACCACTCCCACCCTCAGTGCTCCCATCACAGAGCAGCTGCACTAAGATGCTTTAAGTGTGTTAGTTCTGTCCCAAGTGCCCACTAACCTGCTGTGTCCCTGTGTCCAGCTCTCTGTGCAGAACCAGGAGCTGATCGAGAAGAACCTGACGCTCCAGGAGCGGCTCCGCCAGGCCGAGCTGACGGCCCAGCCCCTGCCCGCTGACACAGCCCGCCTCACCCAGGAGCTGCACGGGGAGCTGGCCATCTGCCTGCAGGATTTACAGTCTGTCTACAGCATTGTCACTCAGAGGGCTCAGGGCAAGGACCCCAACCTCTCTCTGCTCCTGGGTATTCACTGTAAGTACAGAGAGAAGGCAGAGCAAACCCTTCTGTTCCTGTGTTGTGGCAGAGTTAAATACCTCACATATAGTGTGGAATTGTCTTTCTGTGCTTTATGAACCCTAACCCTGTGGTTAGCTCCCTCTAAGGTGCATGCTGTAATAACTGAATGTTAAGTAGGACCTCCTTTGCAAATGTGTGTTGGTTTTTCTGGCTGACTTGCAAATGTGTGCGATCCTTGGTCGGAATTGCATGTGAGGAAACTCCCTTCTCTGACTCCACAGCTGTGCAACACCCTGTGAAGGAGAAGGAAGACTTGCTGAGCCCTGATGGACTTGCAAAGAAAGTGGTGGAGGTAAAACAGCTTCACAAAGAGGTGGAGGAGTTAAGGACTGCGATATCTGACAGATATGCTCAGGATATGGGAGACAACTGCATCACCCAGTAAAGAGCACTCCCCAAAGTAAGACAGGAAATGAAGACTTGAAACCCTCGGGAGTCTTGAGCTCCTGCAACCCTAAACCTATTCAGCACTTTACCATCCCTCTGCTCGGGTACAAGAGATGTGACTTATCTGATCTGTGAGGGATCAGGGGGTTTGTTGCCAGAAGTGTTCAGCTGCTGACTGGAATCGTTCAGGGCTTCGGTGTCGGGCTTTGCAGTAGCTTTGATCTTGTGGAATGTGTTTTATGCTGTGTTTGCTGGAGCTGGTGTGGTCTCTGACGCTGGGAGATTGGATTCTGACTTGCCTTCCAGGCATGTCAAATGCTGAACATGCAAATGTGACGGTTAAAATCATCACTAAAAGGAAATGTATGCCCTGGTGTTTTCTGATAACTTCCCTGTGCAGGTCCTGTGTGACTTGTGAGACCAGTGGATTCTTGGAGTGTTCAGAGGGTACCTGGATTTTGTAGGCAGGCAGGTGTGCTGGTATTTACACTGAGGTGCTACTGGCTTGGATTTATGGAGCAGGACCTGCTTTCCTCAGGTAAACGCAACCAGAGTCTTTCAGTAGCCAGCATGAGTTGGAAATTAAGGCAACACTAAAAGACTCTGGAAATGCTCCCCCTGGGCACTGTTACCCCAGAAGCCTTAAGCCTTTTGTCCCCCCCAGATAGCACTGGGAGTTGGGTGTGACTCACACTGTAGGGGAAATGGATTGATGCTGAAGTGCCTTAATGTGCTGGAGAAACCCTCTGTCCCCACTCTGCGTCGTGCCTAATGCATCTGCTGGCAGATGAGGAGCTGCTGTTCCTTCTCACAGCCTTTTAGAGCTATCCCAAACAATCCTGGGGAACCCTGAATGTCTGTGGCCCCTGCCAGAGCTTCCCAGAGCCTCTGTGCCCCTGGGGACACACCTCTGGCTTGGCTCTCTGCTGCTTGACTGGGAGAAAGCCATGCTGGTCCTAATGGGGAGATGACACAGAGAGCTCTTCCTGCAAGGCAGTGGCCACTCAAGTTTTGTTGGAGCCCTGGGATTTCTAAATAAATCAGTGAGGGATAAGTTTCTCTGCACCATGATCCCCCTAAACCTTAGTGGCAACTTTACAGTACTGAGCCCTGGCTTGTGACAACGCTGTGGTGCTGAGGGTGGAACTTCTGTTGGTTTTCAGCTTGAGTTACGAGCAAGATACTAAGCTGTAACAGGGAAAACTCCTCCTGAAACTTGTGCTGTTCGGTTGTTCTCGGTTCACGCTGGGGCTGCGAGCCCTGGGTTTGGCAGAAATGCTTTCTTGTTATTCCTTTGTGTTAAATTTTAAGACCAAATCTGTTTTGTTTTATAGTGTTTGGCCACCGTGGGTGATGGTGGCAAGGAAATTGGTTGGTTTGTCCTGAGCTGCTCTCCCTGTGTCCAGTGTGTTACGTGCCTGGCTGTGCCTGTCCCCAGGCTGCTGGTGCCGTGTACTGAGGGAAACACATTTCCAAGGCTATTCCTTGATGCTGTTTGTCCCGACTGCCGGGAGCTCTGCTGTCTCCTGCAGGGTTCTCAGGGTGCTGTTGAGCACCATCCCCTTTCCCCCCTTTGCTTTGGGGTGCAAGATCCAGTTCCCAGGTGCTGTGTGGGGACATGTTTGCCCTCTGCCCCTGTGGAGCTGGTTGTGAGATGAGATTGTGGCCGAAACCACCTCTGCTGATGCTTTTGGAGCATCACCCTTGGCCCTGTGCCTGCAGTTGGGCTGCCCTGGTCGTGTGTTCCCCTCCATGGCGACGTGTCCCCTCATCACCCTCCTGCACTCCTGAGCCTGTTTGGCTAAGAGGGTGATCCCAAGTGCCCTTTGCTGCTGGTGCACAGGAAATCTTGGACCCTTCACTCCTGAACACCCCAGGCCAGGGGTGGGGAGCAGGATGGTGTTCCCTCCCTGTCCCCCCTTCCTGCCCCCCCATCCCCTTGTCCTGTGCGTGTGCTCCTACCCCGCTTCCCGTTGGGCTCGGTGTGTTCGTACCAGCCCGTGTCTTGTTGCTTGTTTGTACCGAGTATTTTGATTATAAAATAAAGCTGCTCAGACCCACCCGTGCGAGGCTGTGCAGCCTGGGGAGGGAAGGGGGGTACCCGGTGCCTGGTAGGGGCGGTGGCGGTGACTCCTGGGGCTGGTGCCTCATACCCGGCGGGGGCAGTGGCTCCCCAGGGTATCGGTGCGCGGTAGGGGCGGTGGGTCACCGTTCCCGGTGCCGGCAGGGGCGATGATTCCCCGTTCCCGGTGCTCGGCAGGGGCGGTGGCTCCGGGCCGGCCCCGCAGAGCCCGCATGCCCGCACCCGCCGGCCCCATTGGCGCCCGCAGTCACATGCCGGGCGGTGGCGGGGCCGCCCGCTCCGCCCTCCCTCCTTCCCTCCCTCGGTCCCTCCCGCCCCGCCGAGCCCCAGCCGAGCCTCTCCCTCCGCCGGGCTGAGCGCAGGGAGCGGCCGCGATCGCACCATGAGCACCCTCAAGGTCTACAGCACGTCGGTGACCGGCTCCCGGGAGGTGAGCGGCGCCGGGGCCCCGCGCTCCGGCGGGCAGGGGTGGGGTGCAGCGGGGACCCCTCTTCCCGGGGGTGGGCGTCTCTCTTCCGTGGAGCTGCTAAGGCTCCCCCCCGCTACACACCGCCCTGTCTCAGGTGTCCCCTCCCCTGCTCTCGCTGCACCGGCTCCTTCATCCCCCACAGCCATCCCTCCCTGCTGGGTGTCCCCCCCGTGGCCAGGTGGGGTCTGCACCGTGAGCGCTGTGCTGAGCGCGGCTGGCGCGCTGAGAGTGTGCAACCTCCCCCCTCCTCCTCCGGGCCCTTTTCCGTCTCCCCTTAACCTGCCTTTCCCACCCGGGCTCCAGATCAAATCCCAACAGAGCGAAGTAACCAGAATCCTCGATGGGAAAAACATCAAGTACGAGCTGGTGGATATCTCGCAGGACAATGCTCTCCGGGAGGAGATGAGGGCAAAGGCAGGCAACCCCAAAGCCATCCCACCCCAGATCGTCAACGGAGACCAGTACTGTGGGGTGAGGCTCCCGTTCCGTGCTGGGGATCAGCACCCTGAGGTTGGGTGGTGGGTGACATTCCCATCCCGTTGGTTTTGCTACAAAGGGTGCCAAGACACCCTGCGAGTTGTTTCTCGTGAGGCGCACGGACAAGGTGCTGCCAGGATTCGTGGCCATTTGGGGCACCATGGCTTGGGGAAAAAGGGGATGATGTGGGCAGGTGTCTTTGGGTGACCATGGGCTGTGCTGTGTGGGGCTGACCCTGCTTTGCTCTGTCATCCTTGGCACAACCAACTGGTCCCTGTGCTGTGAACCAGTTTGTGCCACGTTCTCGGGGGACCCTCTTGCCTTGTGAGTGACCGTGTGGCTTTTCCCGGCAGGATTACGAGCTCTTTGTGGAAGCGGTGGAGCAAAACACCCTGCAGGAGTTCCTGAAGCTGGCCTGAGCCCCGGCTCCTCTCCTTTCCTGGACTCTACCTGCACTCCTGAGCACCCTCATCTCCGACCACCTTCACTCCCAGGTTGTCAGCGCTGTCCTGGCACCGCGACCTGTACTCCCGGCACAGGGAAACAAACCCATGACCAAAACTCATTGCAGCTGCCTCCGATTCCCTCCCGCCTGGCCCCGAGATCATCTCAGAGGGATCCAAAGAAAGTCTGACGCTCGCTGCGCATGGCCTGTGAGCGGAGCCGGGCCTGGCTCACCGCAGCTTCCAGTGCCTCTGTAAACAGCAAAGCCTCGGGGGCGTGTGAAGTGCAGGGCAGCCTTCAGCCCCCTCCTCTGCCTCGGGAGGGAAGGGCTCAGGGCTCCATGTTACTTCCCACTTCTCCTAATTGCTGTTAAATTGTAAATTCCGCTGCCTCACTTCCTTTTATTCCCTCCCCCCCTTTTCATCTCGACTGTAGGCATTATGGCAACTAAGTAAATTTTTTTTTTTGTTTGTCTTAATTTAATGCAAAAATACTGCACAGAGTTGGGGTCTGACCGTGGAGGAGCTGGGGGCGAAGGCTGGGATCTGTGGCATCTGTGCTGCCTGGGGAGATGGATGGGGCTGGAAGTGAGATCTGTGCTGTTCTGGCCACCCTCCACCATGACCAGGGCTCCCTCGTGAGCATTAATAGCTCAGGGCTGCCCCAGACCAGCTGATGCTCCAGCTGTCTGTTCTTTCCTCTTTGGAGTTGGCTTTTTTGCAATCCCGGACCAAGTGCATTTTGTTTTCCTGCCAAAAAGCAAGTTTATAACCAGTGTTGTCTTCCGAGATGCTATTAAATGTTACTGTACCTTTCACGTCGGCGCTCCCTGCGTTTCTTTCAAATCTGGTTTTATTTTGACTACAGGTTAAACATCACCCCACGTAATGATTCTGAGTCATTTCCAGCTCTGAGGAGCCCAGTCGGTTGTACTCGCTGCTGCAGCCTGACACAAAGATCTTAACACCTTAGATTGCTGCTGCTAATCAGAGGCTCACAGGACTTGTCTGAGTGTCCCACGGCGTGGTAGTGACAGGTTCCTCACTCGAACATTCCTCTCCTCTGCGTGGTGAGAGCAACAGCCCGAGGCAGGGACAGCTTCAGCCAGACACGTGAGCAAAAAATAACCCCTTGGCACAAAGATTACCTGTCTGGATGTAGACCAGGAAAGGCTGCTCCTGGATCTACTGCAGGTGGAAAAAGGAGGAAGCTGAGAGCTGTGTGGGTTGAGTCACAGGTCACGGGAAGCCGGTGGAAGCAGCTGGTTTGCTTCCTGCATTTGAGTTGTGCAGGGTCCAGCTCCAGCTGGAGGGGTCTGGGAAGAGCTCTGGGCACCCTGAGCTTCCACAGTAACTGTGCCTTTGGAATCTAAAGGAAGTGGAAGCTGCAACAGGAATAAAGGGTTTCATTGGGAGCCTTTAATGAGGGCTGGGTCTGCTCAGAGGAAACCTGCCAGAAGGCGCTGCCTCGAGTGAGTGGGAGTGTTGTCAGCTGGGAGTCAAGTGGGAGCTTGTCACAGCTGGAATGGGAAGAATGTGCTGGGGAAGGGGAAAAGGGCCTGCAAAGTGCAGCCCCAGCCCACGGAGGAGGAGGAAGAAGATGCTTTATTCAGGGCTCCGTGGAGAAGCCGCGGAGGGATTATGCTCTTCTCCAATGACACGGTGTCCTGTTGCAGCATCCAGCTCCAGCAGGAGGAGGGAGGGAGGGCGGGTGAGTGCAGGCAGGCTGGAGCCTGGGCCCTGCTGGAGCTGGGGGCTGTCCAAGGGAAGGAGTTGTGCACGTACAGGAAGCCCAGCAGCAGGATCTCCCGGCTGAGTCGAGTCTGGCTCGGTCCCAGCACTGCAATGGCTCAAGGCCTTCAGGTTTAGCTTCACCAGGGACTGTAGGACTGGGCCTGTCTCTCGCCTGGTGTCAGTGCAGTTGAAATCTGGGGGGCACCAGCTGTGTGTGGAAAGCAAACTGCCCCTGGCTGTGTGTCTGCCCTGCTGCTATAGAGTCCCTGAGCCCAGTACCAGCGTGAAGCTGGCGGGCTCCCCTGGGCAGGGATCAGCCTCTATAACTCCACACAAGTGAGGAACCAGGCCCTGGACCCCAGGTGTGAGCTGATGGAAGTGTCCCTGGGTTGGGAGCCCACCTGTCTTGGGAAACAGCACCCACTGTGAGGCAGCAGGAGCGGGCCTGGCACCCTCTGCCACAGGGAGAGGTGAAACCACTGCTCCAGGCTTTTTTCCATCCCAGGTAATGGCACAAGGAAACTAAATCTGGAAAGAAAACCTCTTCCCAGCCAGGGCAGGTTATAACAGGTGAGAGAGACAGATCCTTCTCCTTACAGAGCTTGGGATGAGGAGCTGTTACAGTGTTTGCAGCCCTGTCCCTCTTGCTGGGAGGGGTCTCTTCTCCTCAGCAGCAAGGAGGCACTGGGGATCAGCCCACATTCCTGCAGGCTCCTGGAGTTGTCCGTGTACAGCCTCTTGGGAAAGGTGCTGATGATCTCATACGAGTCGGAGTCTCCACCCCTAGGAAAGAACAGCACAATCTTTCCTACTCGCAGGGTCCCCCAAGGTTTTGCTGAGATGCTCTGGCTGATCCAGCTGTGGTTATGCAAGAGCAGAAAAAAGGGCTCCCAGCCCTCTGCAGCCAGCCAGGCACCGAGCAGCTGTTCCAGCTGCACAGCTGCAGGGGGAAGGAGGCTCCTGCATCCCGACAGCACTGAGCTCATCCTGGGCTCAGACCAAGGCCAGGGCTCTGGCCTGCAACACCAGTGGGAAGAGGGGAGGGCAAAAGGGGCCCTCAGCCATCTGAACTGTCCCCAAAGGGCTGAGTGAGTCCTCAGGAAGCATTAGATGGGTTGGGATGTTGAGATAGCTGATAGCTGGGTGTTGATCCAGCAGCCAAGCAAAGGCTGCACCAGCACCTTGGGAATGGTGGCACTGCTCATGGGAGTGCTGCTGAGCAAAGGCAGGGATGGCCTGGGTCTGATGGCAGTTCTGGGAGGGCAGAAGAAGTTTGTCTCTGCATGGCAAAGGTGGGTATGAAACACTCTGAGCTATGTGGGACCCCGGCAGTGCTGCCTGGAGAGTGTCTGGTGAGGGAGCTGAAAGGGCAGAGGGCTGATGTTTGAAGATCCAGGGCCTTCAGCAGCCACCAAGAGCCCTTCTCTGGGGCCCTGCAGAGCCAGGTAAGGATGGGAGGAAGTCCTGGGCACACCTGATGTGGGCGAGGTGCTGGCGCAGGTCCCCGATGGTGTCAGTGAAGAGCATCCTCACAAGGTGCGTGTGCTCCCCGCTCTCCGACCTGACACGGAGGGTGCACACTCCAGGGGGAGGAGCTTCAGCCTCTCCAGTCATCTTCACCCTGGTTAGAAAACCCTGTCAGCCAAGGAGGGAGCTCCACTCAGTGGGCAGAACCTCCAGGATGTGCTGGTGAGGTCTGAACGGGGGAGAGGGAACATTCTAGAGATGAACGAGGCCCCACCTGGCTGCAGGCAAACAGACCGAGCCACTGCCCAAACTGCTGCTTTGCTTTCCCTGCCTGAAGGTGCCTTGAAGAGGGTTGTTGGCCTTTTTTAGCTTTTTCATTTTAAATCAGGGCTGTCTGGTAAGTGCTTTGCCCTACTTCTCTGATTAAAAATAATCTTGTTTTTTTTTCTTTTCATTAGCTATTTGGGTCTTGGCTTGCCAGAAGACTGAGTGGAAAAGTGCTGTTAGTGAGACCTCCCACTTGGGCATCAGTTTCTTGGAGGGATTCTCCCATTTAACGTGACTTCAAACTCTTGGGCCTTGGCTTGCTGTTGGGAAAACTATTGCACAGAAATAAGTGACATTTGTCAGAGATGCAAAATATGGCAGGTTTGCCATGAGAAATTCAGTGGTCTTCCCAAACGACCAAACTTGGCCTTTTATCTAATTATTTCTAAGGTTTAACAGGGGAAAGTCCATTTACTTCCTCAGCTGAACCCCCTGAAGTAAACTTGCAGTGATGAAAGAGGAGGAGGAGGAGATCCTGGCAGGGCAGGGGTTTGGGGGGGCTGTACCTGCACCTCTCCAGGGCAGCCAGCCTGGGTGACTCCAGCAGGGTCTCTTTGCTGCTCTGCACCCCATCAGAGCCCTGAAAGCAAACCAGGTGAGTGTCACCACAGCCCAGAGAGCAGCCGGTGCCAAAGTGCCACGTGTGCTCTGGTGGAGCCTCTCTGGGAGGAGATCACACGGAGCTGAGAGGCCCAAGGAGGGGGTGCTGGTGCTGTGCAGGGTGCTGAGCCCCAGGAATCACTGCTGCCCCTCTCCTGTGGGTGGCTGGGGGTCCTCTCGTACCTCCTGTGCTGCTCCAGTTGAGCCCTGGACACCAACCACTCCTCCTCCACGTTCCAGGGGCTTGGGAAGCTCACTGGGAAACTGCTCCAAGGAGGCTTTGGGACCTGCCAGGGCAGAGGGGAGATGTGTCCGTGTGTGACCTTCTTGACAGGCATTTTGACCCCAGAACAGGCTGATTTGGTGAAAGGAGAGCGCGCAGCAGCCGACAGGGAGAGCTCTCACCACCCCCAGCGAGGCCGAGACTCGCTCTCGGGTTCCTCCCTTGAAGTTTGTCCCACTTTCTGGCCCACTAAATGTCTGATTGTCAACATCAACAGTGAGAACTGCACAGCCTGTTCAGCACAGCTGGGATGCACAGCAGGTAGAAACCTGGATAGCTCTGCTGGGAAGAACTGAAACGATCACCATTTTTTAGTGTCTCGGACAATGTTGCCCCTTGTGAGGGTGTGTTTGTTGGTGCCCACTCCTTTTTGTTTGGAAAATTTTTATTTTTTCTTTTTACTACTTAGCTAAAGGGAATGTTTAGCAGAGCTTCTGTTTGAGAATAGCCTTGAGATGAATGAGCAAGCAGTTTAGCTGTAGGTAACCAGGCAGATGTTGCTGATGGGAGAGGAATGTCTGGGGTTATTTAGTGATGCACACACAAACCCACTAGTTTCTGTCCTCTGACTGACTGAGTCTGGCTTCCCAACCCTGACAGGTATTGCCAATGCAGACTGTGACAGCCTAGAAGTGAAATGAGGTGTATCTGTGGCCTGACCTTATGTCCCATATTCTGTTATGAAAGTCTGAAGAGAAAACTGTCCCGTATTCAGTACAGTTAAAGCTGATGTGGCTTGAAGATAATCTGCATTTATGGAGTGAGGCTGTAGGAGAGCAGAGGTTTTTTTGCCAGCCAACACCTCCCTCAGCCTTTGATGGTGGTAAAGGTGAAAGTAGGAGGAGCTTAGCCTTTCAGAAGGGTGCAGGGCAAATATGTTTTGGAAACCTGCTGAATTTCTGGTAATTTATTACTTGTCATGTCTCATTCTTTAGGAGATGAATGATGAGAGGACACTCTGTGTGTTGCCTGGCTCCCAGCTCCTGAAGCAACACCAGGCCCTGACCCACAAGTGTTGCCTTCCTTGCTGAGACAGCCCCCAACACCCCTCCTTCCTGCTGCACTGCCATGGTAAGGTTTAGAAGTTCTCCCCCTTTGAAAATTAGCTGTATTTTTTGAGGCATGCTTAAGATTTTACCTGGGATCTCGGTGGTTTCCTGCACTTGGTTTGATCGTGGATGACCAACCATTTGGCCATGGCCAGGAAAACTCCTTGGAAGGTCCCTCTCCTCAAACACCACATCCCTTCTGTCAGTGACCTGTTGAATTAAGTCCAACTGCCATAAGCAAATCTGACTGTTGCACAAGCTTCTCTTGCTGCATCAGAGCACGATAAACCACAGCAATGACACCCAACAGTCGTAAACCCCAAACAAAACCAATGATGCACAGGTTAAAAGGAACCTCAGCCCCAAGAGCTTTGCTCAGTCCCCCTTCCACGTGACTTTCTAACTTCCCAGCTCACTCCAGCTGGACTGACCTTGTCTTGCCCCTGCAGCTGTGCCCTGGTTTCTTCATGGCAGGTCCAGCCTCTGGTTGTTCCTGCTTACGTTTCAGATGCACTCGAAGCCCTAGATTCGAGTCCTCTGAGGCTTTCTGCCTGCAAATGTGGCCTTGGCTCTTTGCCACTTCTGAGAAATCAAAAAGTGGGGCCCAAAAGAACCTCAGGTGGCCAAAACCATTTATAAGGTGTGCAAAACAAACTCTCACGACATCCTCTTTGTGAGACACTCGTTCGATCTGGTTTTAAAAGCTTTTCCAGGGGAACCATTTGAGAACCATTTGGGGTTTTTTTTGCCTTTGAGTGACACAGCTCTTCAGATGCTGCACGTGCTACGTCTCTTACAGAGCCTGCTGTGCTCTTAGAAGCCTTGTTCCCAGCCAAGATTCACTGAGGCAGAGAAACCCTTCAGTGCTGATGCAGAAACACTCATTTCCTCTAACGGCTGTAGCAGGTGTGCTCCCCGCTACCCTTTCCCCCAGACACACCTGCACAGCATCACAAACCTCAAACTCAGTCCAGCAGGTTGATGGCAGAAACCTGGAGAGTTTTCTTGGCAAGGAAGAGAGCAATTTCTCCCCCAAAAAAGCTGGTGGAAAGGGTTTGGCACCTACCTGCAAAGGGATGCCGTCGGGGTAGCGCTGCTGCAGCTCTGAAGGGAAATACCCATCCATGATGTCCTGCAGGCATTGCTGAAACAACATGAGAGCTCGTGGTCACACCACAGACTTTCTGTTTAGCTCAGGACTGATCTTTCTGCTGGGCTGCTCCTGTTTGTGGTGTTATGGCTGTGCAGAGAAGTCGGAGACACAGAAACTCCTCTCTAAAAATTACTGCACAAAGACATGCAAGGCTTTCAGGGCACTGTGGGAATGTGAGGTGAGGAGCTGGGGTCCTTTTTAGGACTGAGATGAGCTCAAAAGCCTGATTGCCTTTTCTTGGGCTTAGTGAAGGACGGCAGGGTGGCTCTAATTCCCTTCCAGACCTTTCCATACCTGCGTGGATGGGTCCCTGTAGGGCCGGAAGGCTCCACTGCACATGACGATCCCATTTTGGTACAGGGTGAGAGGGACGGGCTCTGGCTGCTTCAGCCGAGCCCCCCGGAGCGTGTGCTTGATTTGAGAGCTGCCTTCTCCAGCCAGCAGGTTCAAATATTTCACGTTCTCCAAGATTAAATCAAAATCAATCAGGTGCTTGGAAACAACTGCTTCGCCTGCGAAGGGAATCGCAGAGTTTGGGGTTATAGGGGAAGGGGGTGGTGGCAGCAGAGCAGCTTCTTATCTGCGTGAATTTGAGGTGTGTTTTGAGCCCTGACATTTCCCCACGTTTGCAGAAGTGTGGTGCAACACCCGTGCTGTGGTGCAGCGCTGTCAGGTCGGCATGGGCGTGGGCTAAAACCACAAGGGCAGGGCAGAGGGTGCAAACTCACAGGGCTCCAGGCTCAGCCCCTCGCCTTGTTTATCACTTCAGAGGCGTTGTGTTGTCCCTGCACAGTGCACGGGGAGGAATTTCACTAGTTGGATTAGCTAGATTGGATCAATGGATCAGGGCAGAGGTGCTGAAGAAGTGTCAGTGTAAACACAGGCAGCAGGTTGGGCAGGGACACTGTGAGGACGTTTGTCTGGGTGCTGGAGGGTGGTAGGGTGAAGCAGGCTGTGAAAAGGTGGTGATGGGGCAGAGGAATGAAATCAGAAGGGGAAACGAAAGAAAAGATGTAGATTGAGCTAAAGCCCTTCGTGCTGTTGTTCTGCTTTTTTATGACTTGCTGACGGAGAATGGGGAAATGCCCTTAAAAAAGGGTCAATGAGCTGGTATCAAAACTATTTCTACTGATTTCCGTCTGTCTGTCCCCTCCTGCATCTAAGGCTGGGGAAGGTCTAGTTAGCTAATATTTGCATGGTGGTTAGGAGGCAACATTGGCTGAACAGCCCAAGTATTCTTCCTTTTTTTTCCTCTGTTACCACTTCCTAAGAAGCCGTTGCCAAACATGCTTGGACCCCACACAGCACAGTCAGGTCTCAATTAAACCACTCACGTGGTAGTTGGGAGGAAAGGCAAACAATACTCCCTGGTGGAGCCAGACAATGTGGGTAAGTTACTACAACTCCTGTGTACACAAAGCACCTGATTCCGTTTTCCACCCACTTTGCGTCAATATTTTTAAAGCAATCAAGCTTCAAACAGTGCAGGGCCTGTGAATTCTGCAAGAATCAGCTGCTGTGACATCCTCCCAAAGGGCTGAGCCATCAGGTTCTCCGCTGAAGAGCTTACAAAATATAGGGGTATAAAATTAAACCTCCTGCCTGGCTTAGCTCCTGCAAGGTCACTCCGTGTCCCTGCCCCTAGGATAGATTGATGTGAAGGTCTCGGCACAGGATCACGGATTCTGAAGGCCCAGATCCTGGTTGTTTTTTGGTTTTTTTGTGCTTATCTACTCCCCCTTCTCTAAGCAGGCAGTGGGAGCTGGGGATAGCTGCTTCAGCCAGGGGTGCTGGTGCTTTACCTGGCTTCCAGAGGCTCCTTGGTGGCAGCTCCTCTTCATCCCCGAGGGATTCTGTGTCTTCCAGCTGATCCTGTGTCCCTCCCACCCAAATCAGGCCGTAGTCATTCAGAAACCGCTGGGAGGGGAAAGTTTACAAGTCAGTGCTGTGGAGCAGAGCTTCAGAAAACTACAAATGGAAGCCTGAGTGTGCTCAGTTGTGACTGTGAGAAGCAGAAAGGGAGGTGGAAGAGGTTTGTCTCAAGGGCTCCTTGGCCCAGACAGACAGACAGACAGACAGACTCCCTGGCAGGGCAGTAGTAGCAGCTCCACCAGTAGTGGGCAAAAGGGAGGAGGAAAGCATTGGTTGTGCCAGTGTAATCTCTCAAGACTGTAGGAGCCACAGAGAATATCTCTACAGTCCTGGAAATCAAAATGAAGGGGCTTGCAGGAGGCACAGATGTCTGTGTAATTTAAAAGCCTCCTTCTGCCCTCTTGCTCGCATCCAACCTGCTCTCTCCTTCCAGACTGAGGTGAAGAACTGTGAGGATCAAAGGCCAAGCAGCCTGGGACTGCAGGGACCTCAAAGTGAAGGTGCAGATGGCTGAGGGCAAGGGAAGCTGGTGTCTCACCTCCATCTCGCTGACCTGGGCCTGCAGCTGAAGGCATCTCACTTCCAGCTCTTCTAGGGTGGATGAGTCAGGAGCACCTGAAAAAGAAGAGCTGATGCTTCTGTGCACAGCCCTAAAGGAAGAGCTGTAGATGAAACCTGTGTCACACAGCCCAGAGCCCCAGCAGCACCCTGCCTGCACTGTGAGTGACCTCAAGTGTGACACATGAGCTTTGTGTGCTGGACTCTGACAATTCAGCCTGCAGTGGTTTGACAAGGATGCTGAGAGAGCAAGAGATAGCTGTGAACGACACTGGCCAAGTTTTATGCTGCAGGAAGCTGCTGTGAGCGGTGCTGTTGGCAATGATGCAATGAAAACTGCTTGGTTTCCTCGGCCCATTAAAAAAACAATGAGCAGGTGTCCACTAAAGCTGGGTCCAGAAATCCTGGCTGAAGCGGCAGCACAACGCATGGTGAGGCACAAACCACACGTGTTTGTGGTTTGACAGGCACAGTCGTGTTTTTTTTCACTCAGGAAATGGAGAATTTACCACAGCTTTGCACTAATAAGGCAGTTCAGCCATTGCAGAAAACCATGTGTGTGTGGGCTCAGCTGGAGAGCTGCTGGATTCCAAGGAACTGAACAGGGGAAAAGACCTTCAGTGACTCACTTAAAGCTGGGTTCAATTTAGAGTTAGGCTGCCTTGCAGGACAAGTGGACCTGTCAGAGACTCCAAGCAGATTTTTGGTTTCTCTCAGCTGTAGCTGTTTTCCTGCCTGTTTGAACTCTGCAGTGTTTACTGATTTTTTCTTGATTTTTTTTGTTTTAACCCTAGCCATCCTGGGGTGTCTGGGTGGTTGGTTTACACTCATGGAAACTTAGTAACCCACAGAAAATAGGCCAGGAAATGACGATTGGCGCTGCACCAGAAAAAGCCGAGGAACAGATGCGAGTTAAAAGTGCAGATCTGCTTTAGGAAATGGCACCAGTGTGGCTGGTACCTCTCACCAAAGAGGCTCCTGGGCTTTGGAGCCAAGGGCAGCTCAGGGAGGAGCTCTGTTGCCTTCCCAGAGGTGCCAAAGGTAGATCAAGTTTTACCTTCCCCTCCCTGAAGAGTCTTTATCTTCTCCTCGAGCTCAGCAATCCTCCTGTCCTGCAGGGACAGAACAAATAATGACCTCACTCAGTTCCTGGGCCTCGGGAACTCGAGGTTTGCACTGTTAGTCCTGGTGCAGGTGCTCCCACCCCACTCAGAGACAGGCAAAATAAGGGCCAGAAGGGCTGAATCACCTCACAAACACCTTAATTAAGCTCAAGTTGAGGGGTGGGATAGATACAGAACTCCAGGAATAGGTGACCTATCTCCCAGTCCTCCACCTGCACGAGAGCTGTGGGCACACACAGGCTCCTGGGCTTCCTGCTGAGGGGCTGATCTAGAGACTAAACCAGCATCTCTGCAGCCCCTTCTTCGAAAATCAAACAAAGCAGGGTGTTTATTCCAAGCTTTTAAAGGGTATGGATTAACTTCTTCTAGCCCAGACGAGGTCCGAGCAGGTGGAACTGCTGTGGCTTCGGCCATCAAAGCAGGACACAGAGCAGGCTCAGCCAGGTGGGCTGATTTTTTTTTTTTTTTTTTTACCTTCAGCTGGATTTCTTGTGCTTGTTTCTCTACTTTTTGTTCCAGCAGAGAGATCTTTTGCATCGTGGAGGGCGTGAGCTCCACCACGGGGGCCACGAGCTCCGTGTCAGTGTGAGCTGCACCTGCAGGCACAGATACCTGTTAGCACCTCTCTGAAATGGGGGGTACACGGGGGGGCCCCACACCAGAATTCCTGCTCTGCCACAGCAGGGAGGATGAGGATATTTTAGGGGGGCAGTGTCACCAACAAGGCGAGAGGGGGGACCACAGGAATTGGGTCTGGCCTGGGGTGTCACTGAGAAACTCTGATGGCCCAGAACCCCCTCATAAATGAGGGACTTTACCCTCCATGTTCCTTTTCAGCGTTGTCCCCTGGGGCAGGAGGGGAGGCTGCCTGGATTCCTGGTCCTAGAAGACAGCCTGGCATCTTCTGGGAAGGGGCACGGAGAGCGTGGAAGGAAAAAAATAACAGGTCAGTGTTTGGATACAACTCCTCCAAAAGCAGGGAAAGAAATATCAGGTTTGTGCCAAAGGGAAAGCAGGTGGCCTGGGTATTCAATCCCATGAGTATTCCCGAATTCCTGTGTGTGGGGGCATTGATATGAGACAGGAACATGGGAAGGTACAATCAGAAACAAGCAAACTTTACTGGGAGTGAAACCTGAGGGTTTGCTCTAAAACCTGGTGGGGAGGATGTGACCCAAAGTGGAACTGCAAAAACAGGTGACGTTCTGTGCTGTGCTCTAGGCTGGTTGAGGATGTGGAAGCCTGTTGTTTCTTATCTGATTTTGGACAGTTGTAGGAGAGAAAGAGCAGACAGAGCTACAGTCACTGCAAAATGTGTAGGGTGGTAAGAACTGCCCTGCATGTGAGGGCAATGAACGTGGACAGATCTGCCCTTTCAGTAAAAATAAGAGGGGATAATATATAAAACTAAAGCACAGGCTCATTAACTTTGGGGAGGGGGGGTTGCTTGATGGGTGAACTTTTAAAATATAATTGCAAAAACTGTCTAAAAAAAAGCTTAAGCTGTACATTTTTCTCATCATCCCAGCCCGTACACCGAGGCAGGGTGGGCTGTTTGAGGGATCGTGGGCGAAAAGGGGCTCGAAATAACGGGGGTTACCGGGTACCTCCTGGGGGAGGTGACTTTGGGGGGGGAGGGAGTGCACCTTGGGGGCCCCGGCGGGGGTGGCAGCACCGGGGACACCCGGGGCGTGCTGGGGCGGAGCTCCGTGTGTTGAGGGACCCTCGGGGGAGGGAGGGGTTCGAAACACGGGGTGGGGGTCCCCGCGCTCCCCCCAAGCACGCACTCACCCGCCCGCCGCCATCTTGTTTACAGGCGGTTGCCACGGCGACGCGGGAGCCCTGCTGCGATTGGCTCAGCGCTGGTCACGTGGTGAGGTATTAAGCCCTATGTGGACTACAAGTCCCAGCATGCCCCGCGCGGCGCCCCCCGACACGGCGGGACCGGGAATGGCTCCGGGAATGGGAGCGGGATGAGACTGGGAGTGGGTCCTGCTTCCCTCCTTAGCCTCCCTTTGCACATCCTCTGCTTCAGCTCATAGGCCTGACCTGAGGCACCTCCCGCTGTGCAGCTCCTCCTGATTCCCTCGCCTGTGGCTTTGGTCTCGCTTTTCTCACCTGGCCATCTTTTGTTTTGCCTCACTGATGCCCTGAGCTCCATCCAGAGCTTGCTGCCCATCCCAGGAGCCTACCCTGTGTGTCTCCCACCCCACCTGCTGCCGTGGAGCCAGCTGGAGTCCAGCCAACTTTACCCTCTTTTATGGGGTGCTCACAGAATCACAGGACTGGTTTTAGAAGGGACCTCAAAGCCCACCTCATTCCATCCCCTTGCCACGGGCAGGGACACCTTCCACTAGACCAGGCTGCTCCAAGCCCCATCCAAGCTGGCCTTGGACACTTCCAGGGATGCTGGCTGTGCACAGAGAGACTTTCAGTTTGAAACTTCCCCAAAGTATGAAAACGAGCTAAATTTGGTGAAGCTTTGCTGCAGAAGAGCCCTCAGCTCTGGGTGGAAGCCGACAGTGAGCTCTTCATGAAGCGCTTCACCAGCACAAACCCAGACAGCAGGTGTATGTGCTCGGCACGTTTTAGTAACTTTATTCATACCAAACCATCTTAAAATAACCAGATCCCTTTTTTGTCTCCTGCTGCTGCAGTGGAGTCGCTGAGGGAGCCCAGAGACCTGCTGTGAGCAGGTGGATCTCGGAGGGCAGAAGGAAGCATTTCCCTGATCCCTTACCTGGATCAGACTACCCTGGGTGTGTCACCGAAATTCAGAGGGACTCCTCGGCCCCAGCTTCACACTGGGGGAAGGAGGTTTGTGACACGCTTCAAACACTGACTGTGACTGGCAAACCCTCCCAAGTGAGGGTTTTAGCCACTCTTGTTGGTGTGAGGACTGGGAGCCCCCAGGCAGACACAGAGCTCAGCCTGAGGGGTTTCATGGTATTTGGGGCTGCAGACAGTGGCCAGGACACCCCTTGGAGCTGGATGTGTGGCCATGCCAGGGGAAGAGGGAGCAGGAGCTGCTCTCGTGGCGGGGGATGCGGGTGAAAAGCTCCAGGGACTGGAGGCCGAACAGGGTGGAGATCCCCCAAGCCGCGTCTGGCACCTTCTTCCTCCCAGCGCCGTCAACGGGCGCGACTTCCCCAAACCGAGCTGAGCAGCCTTTTGGAGGAGGGGGTTGTGATTGGTGAGACGACGGAGCCAGCGCTGCGCTTAAAGCCTCGGGGCGGACGAGGAAGCGTCAGGCACACGGAGAGCCCCGCCAGCCCCGGACCATGCGGCCCCTGCAGCGCCTCCGCCCGCTCCTCCTGCTCGCCCTGCTCGCCCTCTGCATGGTAAGGCCGAGGCTCTGGTGGCCCAGCCAGCTCTGTCCCACGGGTGGGAGGCAGCCCTGGGTCCAATCAGTCAGGCAATTTCTGCTTTCAGCTGGGAACATCAGTGTTTAATTTGTCTATCTGACTCTCAACCGCTGTGATTGACCAGGAGCTTTGCGCTGCGGTCTGGAAGGCCTAACTACTCCCACGTGTTGACTTATTTTAAAGCATTTCTTTAACTTGAGAGTATCGTTCACATCCATAACCTTCACCCTGAGCTCTCCAGCCCCTCCTTTGCGTGCCTGGTGTGGGGATGCTGAGTGTGGCTCGCTGGAGATGCTGGGCATGGCATGGGGGTCCTGGGTGGGGTGCTGGTCTGTGGTTTGCTCTCGCCTCTCCCCACTGGAGGTTGTTTTCCTTCCCCCTGTGAGGGTCTGAGTGCCACGCTGGTGGATGTCAAGGCTCTCCTGCGTGGGGAGCGTTGCGTGGGAGGGAAGGTCATGATGCTTTTGGGGGGCACGGTGCTGTTCGAAGCAGCTTTTGGGATGATTTTTTTTTGCCCCCTACGACGTGTTGGTAACGGGGCCAGATCTCTCTGAGCTTATTTCACTCATGAACTTCATGCAGCTGCAACCTGCTGTTGTTGGCTCCACAGCGTGCATTTACATTTTGGGGTTCCCCCTCCGTGACCAGGTGAAACCAGCCAAAAACCCTCAGGGGTGTTGGGGCCCCATTCCTACCCTTTCCCCAGCTCTGCAGGGACCCTGAGGAGGGCTGTGAGGCAGCATGGGGACTGCATGTCTCATAGTGGGAAACAGCATCCCTTTTCCAGCAGCAGGGCAGAGTTAGAGACGGAAGGAAAGCGCCCTGAAATCGCCATCCCAGCTGCGTTACATTTCACACACCGGCTGCAACCTCCCTGCTTGCAACAGCCCGGGGGTCCCTCCTTCCCTTGCCCCTCTCCTCCAGCACGGGTGTTTCCCAGCTCTGCTCCCACACCCCGACCTCTTCCGCTCAGGGCGCGTGTCCCGCCACCTTCTTGCCACTTCCTCGCAGCAGAGAGAGGGGCAGAGGCCACTCCCTGGCTCCTGCTTCCCCCCTAATTTTTTTAAAGCCCCCCTCTAGAGCCAGGACGACGATTCGAGGGATAGCTCGCTTCCCGCCCTGAGCTGGGAAAACCCAAAAGCCGGGAGTCTGAGTGTGAAGGAGAACCTGCCGTGGGACAGGGGGCCCTTTGTCCTGCCTGGCACGGGGCACTGTGGGCTCTGGGGTGCCCCAACTTCGTTTGCCCCCGACTCCTTTCTGCCCCGAGGGCAGTGGAGTGAGGCTTTCAACCCCTCGCTGCTGTTTGGAAGGGATGCCTGACGCTCGTTTTCTTTCCCAGTCCCTCTGCCAGGCGCAGGAGGAGAAGCAGCCTCCAAAAGAGACTCCGCGCACCAACGCAACGACCAGCGCCAGCCTGAACCCCCCCTGCGGGAGCCCCCCGCTCCTCTCCCTCGCCCTGGGGGTGGTCGCAGCCTTCCTCCTGCATCTGCGCTGACCGGGAGGGGGTCACCGTGCACCCCCCTCCTCCCCGGATCCCCCAAGAAGAACCCCAAGAAACAACCCCCCTCCAGGATGACATCCCCTTCACCGGCAGCACCGCGGCATCGCTCCCGTCCACCCCTACCGCCCTCCGCTCCCCTCGGCCCGGCGTGAGACCCCCGGCCCGGGAGCGGAGCAATAAACGTGCTGGTGTCGAGACCCCCGCGTCGGGGCGGGACAGTACCGGGGCTGGGGAGGGGGTTGGTGGTGGGTGGGTGGGGGGCGCAGCACCGGCGCCTCGCTGGGGCCTTCAACCCTCGCTTGGCAGGCCTGAGCCGAGCCGGGGAGCCGGGGGAGCACGGCCAGGACCCCCCGAGGGTCCCCCCGGAGCTTTCGGGGTCCCCCCGAGGGTCCCCCCGGAGCTTTCTGGGGTCCCCCCGAGGGTCCCCCCGGACCTTTCTGGGGTCCCCCCGAGGGCCCCGGGACCGGCCCCGGAGCGGGCGCGGCGCGGGAACAGCGCCCCCTGCCGGTCGGGCGGAGCATTCCCCCCCCAGGCGCGTCCTGGCCAATCCCAGGGCAGGGCTCACACTCCCCACCAATCCGGGGCTGCCAAGCGCCCTCTGTCAGCCAATCGCGGCCCGGCGGGGTCTATATAAGAGAGGGTTAGAGGAAGAATCCCCTTTCCCCAGGCGTGGCCGCGGTTCGGGAGGAGCTGCGGGGCCTCGGGGGCCCGGCGGTACAACGGGCTTTTCGCTTTCTTCAGCATCCGGGGGCACGTTTCAGCGTAAAAGATGGATGTTTGTTGGTGGCTGTCGCTGAAAGCCGCAGCGGCCACCAGCCCAGTGGAGACGCCTGATGTGCGGACCCGGGGGCCCGTCTGTCACCGCGGCACAGCCCGGGGGTGATGAGTGATCGCTGTCCCCGCGCACTGACTCCCCAAACTGGAGAGTCCAGGCTGGGCTCGACCTGCTCAGCAAACCTGGCCCACGTCAGCAGCCGTGTCCTCTCCCCAGCCACGAGGGCAGAGGTGCTTGTTGTGTGGATTTGTCCCTCTGGCTCTGAGTCACGTCCCCGGGGAGCTCCTGCTCTCACCCAGGTGGGCGAGACCTCTGTCCCGGGGACACGGAAGATGAGTGACCTGAGCCATAATCCAGCCCTGCATCACAGGCAGCAAACGCTGCTGACTCTGAGCTCTGGGATATGGACATCCCCAAGCCCACAGGTTGGGTTTGACCCTGAGCTGGAGCTGCTGGGATCCCACAGCCCCCAGTGATCCCAGGGCACAGCTTGGCCAGCGCTTCCCATCTCAAAATCCATGGAACTCCTCACGGGCACTAGAGGGCACTGGGATCCCATTGTGGGAGCAGGATTAGGCCCAGGGCTGGTGCGGGACAAGGTGATGGAGTGGGGAGGCAGCTGCCAGGCTGTGGGCACTGCAAGGACAGGGAGAAGGACACCAACCACCCAGGCAGAGCTGGCCCAGACAAGAAGGGCCGTATCTTACACACGTACATAAATACAGTTCAGGGGGGGATGTTGTGGGGAGAGGGCTCTGCCGCTCTCCAGAGGGTCCCACGTTGGTCATGTCCTTGGGGTCCTTCATGAGCCACACTCGGAGCTCCCCAGGAGGGAGGCAGGGTGGTTTCCCCCCCATGATGGAGGGGTTGGTGGGCATCCTTCACACCAGCAGCCAGGGCAGAGGGGTGTTTGGGGTGCGGCATGTGTGGGTTCTGATGCTCCTGCCCCGCTGTGGGTGTGCCCATCCTGCCCTGTGGCACTTCTCTGCAGGCCCAGCCCCTCAGAGCACCTCTATGTCCCAGATCTGCGTGGGTCTCTCCTCGGCCATGTCCCAGACGATGGCGTGGTCCCGGTCGTAGGTTCGGCCGCCTGTGGAGCGAGGGGGGCGTTTCAGGAGGGCAAACCACGCTCCTGGTGGTGGTGAAGGGGTGGGTGCCCCATCCTGGGCATCCCTGTGAAAGAGCCCCCCCGTGCCAGCGCCGAGGCCTCACCCTTTACGTCGAGGATCATGTCCTCGAACATCTGGCTGTGGATCCGTCCCTGGGAATCCACGCTCCAGGTCTGACGTGGCATCCGGGTCTCGGACCACAGCACGGCCTTGGCGCCCCTCCCAGCTGGCCCGATGACCTGCAGGCTCATGTTGGGGGCCACCTGAAAAGGGTGGTGGTGGCCAGGTCAGCCCACTCCCTCCATCACCTCCACCAGCAAAAAGGAGCAGAGCCCCCAGAGGGTTTTCCCTGCAAATGCTGCTGGTTCTGGCGTGGGATGTGGGATGAGCAGGAAAACCCCCCAGTGAGAAGTAGGGATGGTGAGGATGATGAAACCTCTGAAGGGAAGGCAGAGACACCTTCACGTCTCCAGAGGAGACCTGGGGAGGAGAATCACCCCATCTATGGGGGCAAGGTTGAGGTCAGACACTTGGAAAAGCTGCTGTAAACCCTAAAAGATGGCTGTGGGGTGGGGAGTACCCCAAAGGGAGACTTGCCAGGGGCTCCCTCAGTCACCTCTGCAGCTCTGGCTGTCACACCTGACCTGGTTTTTGATCAGCCCATCCTCGTAGTACCAGACAGAGCTGCTCTGCTCCCTCAGGCTGGAGACCACCACCCGCCCCGCCTTCATGTCCTCCACGTCGTCAGGGACCGCGAGGTAGAGCTCCAGCTCCCTGCTCCTGATGCGGAAATAGATCCGTCTCTGCAAAGAGAGAAACCTTTCTTTTTGCACCCAAAAACCCTCTCCGCCTGCACCTCCAGGACCTCACCTGGCTGGGGCCTTGGGAAAGGGAGGATCCTGGACTCCACTGCCCTCCCCCCAGGAGATCCTCACCCCTCCCCAGGGCGATGGCTGTGACCGTGACCTGTCCCTCGTAGCTGGTGCAGGCAGGGCTCACCACACTGGGATGCCATGGATTTTACAAGGCAGTTGCCCACAGGGAGTGTTTCACCACCAAGGCAGCCACTCCCAGGGAGGGGGGTCAAGGATCTGAGGCTCCACGTGAGCCACCTGCCCTGGGGTTTTGGGGTTCACCCCGCCAGGTGCCAGCACCCTGTCCCCTCCCAAAGGTGACACTCACCTGGCGGATGGGGTAGAGGGACCCCACGTGCTGCAGCCCACTGTAGGTCAGCCAGTTGGTGATCTCGGTGCAGTCCAGCAGCCACTGCCGCCCTCGGAAGTCACCGTGCTCGCACAGCACCCAGCTGTGGGGACAGGATGGGACAGGACAGGTCACCCCGGGTGGGCAGGGGACACCCACAGGGTGCTGGGGGAGCGGGGCCAGGGGCTGGGGCTGACTTACATCCCGCCTTTGACGCGCACGGACAGCACGTGGTTGTTGAAACCCTCCGCCTGCAGACTCCGCACTTCGGAGTTGAGCTCGATCTCCTTCCCCTCGAAACACTCCAGCCCGTGCAGGAAGATGGAAGGCTCCGAGAAAAACTGTGGGATGGTGGGGAGAGATGGGGTGGGAAGGGGGAAGGTGGGAGGAGCGAGCACCCCATGGGGGCAGGAGGAATGGAGAGTCAGAACAGGGGATGCCTGTGGGAGGGGAAGAAAGTCCTGGGGGTTTATGCTATGGGGAAAGGGAAAGGAGAAGGGGAAAAAGGGAAAGGGAAGGGCTGTACTCACCAGTGGAACCTTCCTCAAGGAGCGGATGGTGGTGGAGCAGAGGCAGCCCATGGCACTGAGCGTGGGGTACTCACCCTCGGACAGCACGTGCTGCTCCCCCGCGAAGTCCTGCCCGTCAAACAGGATCCAGCTGGCAGGGAAGAGTGTGCCCAGGCTGACACAGCCATTGGGGTGGGCATCCATCCCTCCTGTGACCCCCCCAGCACCCCCATCCCACCCACGCTCTGGGGAACCCCCATGGGGCTGCCGGCTGGGCTGATGTCCCTGTTCCCATCCCAGTGGCAGCAGCGAGGCCCTGGGACACCCCACCTGCCCCCACGGACTCTGCAGGAGCGTGGGATGAAGGCGTCGGGCAGGGCCCCCTGGTCCTCCTCGAAGGCAACGTGATCCCCCGAGAAGTCAGGCTCTGAGAAGAGCAGGATCTGGGAAGGGGCAGCAGAGGGGCTTGTTAAAGGGGTGCAAAACATCCCCACCACCCCACAGGGGACCGCATCCCCCAGAGGGGGGCACATCCCCCTCCCCATCCGCCGCTCCTGACCTTGGAGACGAAGTGGAGGTTGTGTTCCCTGACCTGGAAGGAGACAGAGAGCGGGGCTGGTGGGTGTCTGCCCTGGGCCCCCACTCCAGCCCTGCACGTGGCAGCACTGGGGGGTGCTGTAGTGGGTGGGGGTGTCCCCTTCCAGCGCTGTCACCTGCAGGATGGGCTGTGCCGAGGCGATGCGGCAGTCGGTGGCCCCCCAGTCCTCGCAGTTGCGGTACACCCCCTTCTCCAGGACGTACTGCTCGCCCGAGTAGTTGGTGCCCCCGTAGGCCACCCACCTGATGGGAAAAGGCGGGTGCTGGCTCATCCCTACCCTCTCCCATCCCCCCAGCCCCTCTCTGCCCTGTCCCTGCACTCACACGCCGCTCAGCACGTGGATGGACTGGGTGACGGTGCCGTAGCCGGCCAGCTGCGTGTCAGGGAGAGCCTCGCTCAGCTCCACGCTCGGGCCCTCCTCAAAGTCCATGGCCTCGAACAGGACCAGTGCCGGGTCAGAAAAGTCCTGCAGGGAGAAGAAGACCCCACCCCAGCCCCTCTGTCTGTCAGGGGAAGGGGCTGTGGGCCGGGCACACACACAGCCGGGGTCCTGCCTGGCCTCAGAGACTCCAGGGGGAGTGGGAGCAGCTCCCAAACCTCTGAGTTTGTGGGATCTCAGGCTGTCTGATGCAGGTAGGAAAGGCTCCCTTTTGGGGTATGAGGGCGGGATGGGGGTACCTGGCTCTCCCTGCCCACACTGGGTCCATTCCCAAGCGACGCCCCCATCCCTGCCCTCACCGTCCGTATCAGCCGAAGGGACACCAGCTCCTTGCTGTAGCCACTCCACTGCCTCCAGTCCTGGTATTCCCCTTCCTCCAGCAGGTACTGGTGTCCACGGAAGCCTTCCTTCTCGTAGCCAACCCAGCTGTGGCACAGGCAGACACAGGCAGTGAGGTTTCCAGAGGATTTCCAGTCTCCCAAGTGACCCATGGCCATCCCACACCCCTGGGCAGCTCCTCCAAGCCCTTTCCCAGGGGTGGCCGTCACCTTCCCAGCCTGCTCC